TTCAAATTTGTCCATACTTCTAAGTCCTTTTTCACTTCAGTCCAACATTTTCATAATTATCCTTGAATAGGTTCACATTTCTAGCAGTCATGTTAACCCCTAAGTATTTCACTTTTTTAACCAATGTTAGTCCTGTCTCCTCCTGAAACTTCTCTCTCTCTCATTCATAGTTAAATTTTTTCTCTAGAACCTTGGTTTTCATCTTATTCAACTTAAAACCTGCAACCTGTCCAAATTCTTGAATCAGCTCCAATACCCTTTTAGTACTAGGTTCTGGCTCCTGTAAGGTCAATACTAAATCGTCAGCAAATGCTTTCAATTTATACTGTTAGCTCCCACCTGTATACCTTAACTTGGGGCTACCTTTGAAGGTGACCTGGAAACTACAACTAATCCCAGAATGTGGCACCAAGACTGCTGACTGGGAGTGGCCGCTGAGTCCATATAACACCGGTCCTGAAAGACCTACATTGGCTCCCAGTACGTTTCTGAGCACAATTCAAAGTGTTGGTGCTGACCTTTAAAGCCCTAGATGGCCTTGGCTCAGTATACCTGAAGGAGTGTCTCCACCCCCATCGTTCACTGAGGTCCAGCTCTGAGGGTGGTTCCCTCCCTGCGAGAAGTGAGATTACAGGGAACCAGGCAGAGGGCCTTCTCAGTAGTGGTGCCCGCCCTGTGGAACGCCCTTCCAATAGTTGTCAAGGAAATAAAAAGCTATCTGACTTTTAGAATACATCTGAAGGCAGCCCTATTTAGGGAAATTTTTAATGTTTAGTGTTTTATCATGTTTTTAGTATTCTGTTGGGAGCTGCCCAGAGTGGCTGGGGAAACCCCACCAGATGGGTGGGGTATAAATAAATAAACAATTTATTTATTTATTTCTATCTCTTTCCCAGATCTGAAAAGCCTTCCTTTTCTTGTCAATAATGTCTCCAATCTTACTGTTATTCTCATCAAACCAGTCCTGGTGTTTCTTGGTTTGGTATCCAATAGTTTGTTCAAATGCTGCAGTAATTGATGTTTTTAGCTTGGTCCAGTGTTCCTCAATGTTATTAGGGAACTCCAAATGCAGATGGTCCTTAAGAGTCGCTTGGAAGCAATCTTGAGGGGCTTGAGTGTTCGTTTTGCACCTTGGTAGCCATCGTGGAGTGTATTAATTGGTGATCTGTCCAGCAGTTGTCAGCACTGATCACAGCTCTGGTAAGGAGCACATAACAGCGATCTTCTACTCGGACAATTACATAGTCTAAGAGGTGCCAGTGGTTTGACTGAGGGTGCCTCCATTATGTTTTAAATTTTGTTGTTGTCGAAAGAGTGTGTTGGTAATAACAAGGTTGTGTGCTGCACATATAGTCAAAAGTAAGATTCTGTTCTGATGTATGGAAGTGAGAGCTGGACCATAAAGAAGGCTGATCGCCGAAGAATTGATGCTTTTGAATTATGGTGCTGGAGGAGACTCTTGAGAGTCCCATGGACTGCAAGAAGATCAAACGCATCCATTCTTAAGGAAATCAGACCTGAGTGGTCACTGGAAGGACAGATCGTGAAGTTGAGGCTCCAGTACTTTGGCCACCTCATGAGAAGAGAAGACTCCCTGGAAAAGACCCTGATGTTGGGAAAGATGGAGGGCACAAGGAGAAGGGGACGACAGAGGATGAGATGGTTGGATAGTGTTCTCGAAGCTACAAACATGAGCCTGACCAAACTGCGGGAGGCGGTGGAAGACAGGGGTGCCTGGCGTGCTCTGGTCCATGGGGTCACGAAGAGTCGGACACGACTAAACGACTAAACAACAACAAGATTCTGTTCTGGTTGCTGTTGCCAGTTCCTTCTTTCCCAATAGTCCAAGGCTACAGATCGAAATCTCGCCCAACTTTTGCATTAAAATCACCCAGGAGAATAACTTTATCCTCCTTAGGTGTCTCTGAGAGGATGGTATCCAGCTGAGAGTAAAAAAAATTCTTTAATGCCTTCATTGGCATCCAGTGTTGGTGCATAAGCACTTAGAATCATAGTCTGATGGTTTATGGTGAGTTTTATTCGAAGGGTTGAAAGTTGCTCATTAATGCTGATAGGGACTTCTGACAAGAGCTTCACAAGCTCTTTTTGGATAGCAAAGCCTGCTCCATGTATTCAATGTTCTTGTTCAGGTAGACCTTTCCAGAAGAAGTGTAGCCTCCTTTCCGTCCTTCAATTGTCCCTCACCAGCTCTTCGAGTTTCTTGAAGCACTGCAATATTGATGTTAAAACGTCGCAGCTCTCTTGCAATGATGGCAGTTCAGCGTTCAGAATGCTCATCATCTGTGTTATCCAACAAAGTCCATATATTCCATGTTCCAAAGATCAATTGTCTTTTATGACCCCTGGGTGATCCCACTGTGCAAGGTAATCCAGTCAGGGAAATAGGGACGCAGACTATGTTTAAGGCACTTTTTCTAGCCCCTCCCTCTTTTTGGGATGAGTAGACAGAGTGGATCCTAAATAGGGCTGCTCAGTCATGGATACAGCTGCCGAGGTGCTCAACTGCCTCATTCCTTGAGTCAGAGTGACTGAATCTGTATCCACCGCCCATGACTAGGGGCTTCCAGATTTCGCAGTCCTGCCCCTGTTACCATTTGCCGATCACCATGGGACTTTTGGGGTTTGGGTTTGGGATGGGTTTTTGGAAGACACCTGTGCATGAATTTGTTTTATGTGTCTAGATTAGTGCACGCTGACCAACGTACAGTCTTCGCAGTAAGGCTCTATTGCGATGGCTACTCACGGTAGATTCTTATCTGCTGCAGCCTTCATCTGCCTTCACAGCCGTTGTATCTTCACTGTATGTTCTGCCGTTGAGGACTTCTTGGATCATTCTTGGTCTAGTTCCTCCCTTTTGACCTTACAGCCTTTGGTGACCCTGCTGGGAGTATGAGACTCCCGATGGCTTCGCTCACAAGGGTCTTAGGAATGTGGAAGCCCACTCGCCACAAGGTGATGATCCAGCGAGTCACGCAATAGGACTCCCTGCTGCCGACACCATCTTGCCCAGGAAGTGACCTGGGGACTTGTAAAGTTAAAGTAGTATTGGAGTTACAAGAGACTGTGGAAATAACAGGCACTACCACAATTTCTCTCTCTCTGAGGAATTGACTCTGTCTTAAAAGGGAAAAGAGATGTGGGTAGGGAGGAATATTAGAAATACTTACCCAGAAAGAAGGAGAATACATCTACATTCTCTTAACTATTGGAAGGTCCACACTTATTTTCTAGTGGGCAAGCATTCCAAGGGCTGCTCACCAGTTGAGCCTCTCCCAGAAAACAATAGAGAACACTTGCAGATTCTACTGAGAAAGCAGGGTATGAATCCCAGAACTGTGCTAACTGCAAGCGAAGAAAGTACATTAGCAATACAAACAAACGGCAGCCATTTCTATTGACACCATCAATATGCAGGTGGGAATTAAATGACAATAGGTAATTACAATTAAATGACAATAGGTGATTTAAAGGATACTTCTGCTTTTTGTGTTTTTTTTCTGTTATTGAATCAAGTTCTTTTTATATATATGTTAGGACCCGTTGCCTAATCTGAAGTGATTAATAAATGGCTTGCATTGTCAACTTGTAGGCAGCTCATACGCTTGTGGATTGACTGGATGTGCATAAATCAACAGTTTCCACTAGTAAAAGCCAAAGCCTAGCTAGGGGCAAGCTGCTTTCTAGGCCGTCTTTATCAAGATTGACAAATGCAGGTCAGGGCATTAGCATAGGTATCTAGCATTTGAAGTGGCTCCTGGGACACCCAGATAGCATTTTGCAGACTTGGTAAGTAAATCTTTATTTTTGCCCCTGCTGAGATTAGCTGCAAGGTATGTTTTTAAAGAATGTCGGAAGCATTTTACATGCAAGTTGTGTTTTAACTATGCATCATAAAGTGAAGTGTGCCCAGCTACCTCCAGTCATTCAGTGGCTGCCTGGAATAAGCTTCTGTTTCTCAGGACATTTGATCAACTTGCTTTTCTTTCTCAGTACAGTACTGGTGAGTTTAACACCAGCACTCTTGACTGGAGTGGGACTTGTATTTGTAGTAGGTAGTCAGGTGTAGCAGCAGCATAATTTTTTTTATAGCCAAAGTGAACGAGTATTTAAATGCTGATTTTTATTTAGAGTCTGTGGGCTTTGAGGGTAGAGGCGCTGTCTGATTATGCCTCCCCTTCACCCCCGACCCGAAAAAACAACAACCCGGTGCTTGCTGTACTCGGAAGTAAGCTTCAAAGAGACTCCTTCCCAAGTACAGAGCACGCATAGGAGTCCGTAGCATTCTCCTTTTTATGTTTACACGGAAGCCCCATTCTTTAGTAAGACTCGGACTTTCCCTGGGTTCTGGGGCACACGTGGCTTGAGAGCTTGCGATGATGCTCTGATGTCTCTCAGCCACGTGGGCGGCGGCTTTCTAGGACCTGGCTCTGTGGTTGCTGAGCCTTAGCCATCCATCCATCCATCCATCCATCCCTTAATTCTTTGTATTCATGACGTTAATTACTTTTAATTAATGAAATTTCGGCTTTTGGAGTGTTCGAGATGACCGCATTCTGGCAGCTCCATTTAATAATAATAATAATAATAATAATAATAATAATAATAATAATAATAATTATTATTATTATTATTATTATTATTATTATTATTATTATTATTATTATTATTATTAACCACCCGATCGATCAATTAATTTTTTATTTTCTTTAAAAAAGACTTGGAGCCGCGCAGAATGCGGTCCTCGTCCCAAAAGCCGAAAGTTGCCGAAGAGCTTTCGGGGTTCCTTTCTGGATTTCCTTTATTTCCGCTGGAATTTTCCGACAGCAGCCGAGCGCGCTCTCCTTAAGGCTCTCCCTTCGAACGCGCCCTTTCCCAACGTTGCCGTGCGCGCTCGGGCGAAGTCGCCGAAGCCTTCCGAGCGCGCGCGCGTGATCGCCTCCCGATTCTTGAAACCGGGAGGCGGGGCGGGGAGAGGAAGCGGCGCTGGCGCTACGGAGAGCCCGCAACAGCGGCCCCTGGCGGCGGCGCGGCTAACGGGGAGGCGTCTTGGACGTCTGCGGACGGCGAGTTTTCGCGTGCGCCTGTCTTCGGGGCTGGCGGCTTTGGGCGACGGTGCAAGGAGCGCGGCGGAGGTATCGGGCCCGTATATTCTTTCTCCCTCTCTCTCTCCTACCTCCCCAACCCCCACTTGCGCGGGGTGCGCGCGGGGTCCCAGGGAAGGTTAAGCGCCGGGTGAGGCCGGCAGGAAAAGAAGGCGGCGCGCTCTCCTTTGTGCAAGCCGGTGCCGCCTTGCGCGTGCTTCCCCCACCGCCCCCAGCATGCTACGGGGAGGCGGCTCAGCGGCTTCCCCCATTAGCTCAGCTGGAGAAAGAGGGTGGGGGGAGAAGGAGCCGCGGGGAGAGGAAGCAGCCCCCTGGGGTGTCCCCTGGGGTTTCCTGGAGAGCCGCTTCCCCTTCCCCCGTTATTTTTTGCGCCCCCCCACCCCACCCACTCCACCAACTTGTGCTGAACCCTCAGAGTGTGTTGGTTTGCCCCTACTGGGATTCTTCCGTTCCTTTCAGGGATAGAGCACCCCCCCCCCCGCCGATTTATTTTCTTTTTGGAAGCAAAGGGTAAATAACAAATAAGAGGACAGCCCCCACTGATCAGGGCTTGTTCATACTTCCGTTTGCATCTCCCTGTCCCCCCCACCCCCCTGCCCGCCAGGGAAACACATGGTTTTGTGCTGAATCGGGGCAAACAACAATTGAGTTTTCTGCAGATTGCCTTTTGTTCCAATTCAGTGGGGGGAAGTGGCTGGTTAAAGGGCTTATCCCTAATTCCTCTTGTAAAGGCGATTCGGGTTTTCCCTGGATGGCCATCTATTGCTCAAGAGCAGGTTTGCCCTAGGAATGGAGAGGGACAAAGGGGAAACCACTCAGACATATGCCTAGAATGTGGAAAAGCACTTGGACCCATGCTTTCTAGGTAGAAGTGTGGACGAGCCCCCTGGTCCAGCTATGCTTGAGGGGACAAGGGCCTAGAGAGTATACTTGAGCTGTACAGTAGATGCTTAGTGTAGGGGGACTTGCAGTGTGAGTTGCTCTGCCATGACCCCACCCCACCCCCTGCTTTCCCCAGTAGAAGAGCTGCAACTCAAGGGGTAGAGGACCTCCTTGGCGTGCAGAAGTCCCGGGTTCAATCCCCAGCACCTCCAGGTAGGACTGTCTGAAATCCTGGAAAGCCCCTGCCAGCCAGTGTATACGTTACTGGGCTAGATAGACTCATAAATCTGATTTGGTATAATGCAGCATCCCATGTTCCTAAGGTGCTACAGCACATCCCCTTCCTGAGGTTGCTGTTTGCTTCTTCCCTCCCAGGTGCTCATAGTTTCTTTTCCTCCCAAGTGTCCCCCCCCATCTCTGCTTCTGCTCTTTTTCCACCTAGCATCTTCCTCTTGCAGTTGCATCTCACCCCTCACTCACTTCCCCCCACAAATGGCACCTTAAAGCCTCTTCCATTTCACACACTTACAATTTGAATACCATCATTTACACTTGAACGTGTTACACAGCAGCCACCCAGAAGTTCTCCTTGCTGCTGCTGCTGCTGTTTGCAGTGGTTCGGTCAGCCTTCAGTTTGGGGCATGTATAAAGCAAAATCGCAAAAGAACTGCATGCACTAGCTGATTGTCTCTGGACACAGTGTGAAGCTGAGTGGAGTTGAGCATAGAATATGTGTATGTAGCAATCAAAGATTTCCCAAGGTTTTTGCTTTTCCTATAGAAACTTGTTGCTCCAGTTTGACAAATATATTCTGCATGATAATCCTCTATGCTTCACTCCTAAGAGTTGATGCTTTGTTTACAGGTTCTGTTTCTCCAGCTTTGACTGCAGCTGAAACTTTCCCCAGCTGTGGTTAGGGTTAGGGTGCTGTTTCAATTAGGGTAGGAGTAACTGAGCCAACTTGGCAAAGTGAGCTTGATTTCCAGGTGATGTAGCCCTGAATTGAGTCTCCAAGGGGGAACCTCAAAACTCTGTTCTGCCCTTCCCTCTGCAGCCAATGGAAGCTTCAGTCTGGTTATCCCTTTTTACATGTGCAGCACAGGGTGAGAGGGAGCTGGTCTACAGCTCTCTTTGCCATTGATGGTGGTAGTGGCTGTGGTGGAGATAGATTTAGTCCTGAAAGTGGGCCTTTCCCAGGCTTCATGCTCTCACATGCTCTCCTCCCACATATCCAGTCTATAGTCCCTTTAAGTAGTTTATTTTTTTATATATATATAAGCAAACACCTCCAAGGATATGTCTCAGCATGCCTATACTATTTAATCAAGCTGGCTTCTCAGTCTGTAGGATCTTACAAGCACTGAATTTCTGACTTCGTTCTCACTCTCTTTCGTACGGGACAGGAGCTGCCTGCACTTTAATTATTCTAATATACAACGTTGTCTCACTGGGCCCATCCTAGAAAGCACAGGTCTAAGCAGTTTCAGCTATAGATCGGAACAAATGACAGGTAACATATGAGGAAAAGCCAAATTGTCATTTGTTCTGACTGGTCGCTAAAGAGCAGTTTTTCCCCAGGGTAAAAGCAGCTGCACAAGAAGAAGGTTGGATAAGCTCTTTGCTCTAAGGATGCAATAGGGAACTGGGCTCCCATGTCTTTAACAGTTGCCCAAGACTGAGTATCACAACAGCTGCAACTTTTCTCTCCAGTTATGGGAAAGGTGCAATTGTTAAGATGCTCCTTTCACCTTGTACTTAAAGGCTTGGGACCTCAGTGACTTGTTTGCTCTGACAACCTGACTAACAATACACGTGTAAGGTAGTAGCCCTCGGTTGTGTAACAATATATAAATGCCCCCTTGCATTTTCTTTGCTTCAGTTAACAGTATTCTTTAAAAATATTTTTAGTTTTCCTCTTAATTAGGAGAATGAGAGATGCATTTATCCCCAAAGAGGCTGATATAATATAACCAGCCTTCTTTATGTATTGGATTTGCACAGACATTTGGCATTTGAGGTTTGTAAATATTTATCATTTTTCTGCAAAACAGTTCTAGGAAAAGCGTTGTCACTGACAGCGTTGCTTAGATATTTTTCAAAGCTGCTTTTCCGTCAACCAAGAGGCTTCAGCCTTATAACATTTGGCTTTATTTGAAGGGAAACAGTATTTAGTTTGGGACATTAATAAATTATTTGGTTTTTTAAGCACAGCTTTTCTATCTGATAGTATCTGGAACTGAACCCAGTCTTTGTACACACACACTCTTAGATGATTCCCCTCTCAGTAACACATGCAACTTTAAACACATTATGCAAAAATAAGGGCCATTATTGTTAAGAGAATTTACTTTTAAAATAAGTACAGTCATACCTCAGGTTGAATATGCTTCAGGATGAGCGCTTTCGGGTTGCGCTCCGCGGCGACCCGGAAGTAATGGAGCACTTTACTTCCGGGTTTCACTGCTCACGCATGCACAGACGGTCAAAATGATGTCATGCACATGTGTGGAAGTGGCGAATCGTGGCACGCGCAGACGCGGGTTGCATTCGCTTCAGGATGCGAATGGGGCTCTGGAACGGATCCCGTTCGCATCCTGAGGTACCACTGTAGTTTAAGATCGTAGTCCAGGTTATTGGGAAATGTAGTAGTAAATATTCTTAATGCTTTCCGTTTTGAGGAACTCTTAGTTGTTCCTTAATACATGGCTTCCAAGCAAGATAATTTCATAAGCAAGATAATCTCAAATTCATTAACATTCCAACTTAAAAGCTTTCATTCTGGTTCAAGATGCTGCTACTGAACATTCAAGATGATATTTGGGGCACAGAGTATAAGCATCTCCTTCTGTTTCTCATTGTAGGAATGGAGACCAGGAAGCTAATCACCGCAACAGACAACCAGTACTCTGGCATGTTGTTAAAGGCTTTGGATGAACAGCGAGGACATGGACTTTTCTGTGATGTTACCATCATTGTGGAGGACCGGAAATTTCGAGCCCACAGAAATGTCCTCTCAGCCTCCAGCACTTACTTCCACCAGCTTTTCGCGCTTGCAGGTCAAGTGGTTGAACTGAACTTCATCAGAGCAGAGATTTTTGCAGAAATTCTCAATTACATTTACAGCTCCAAAATAGTCCGGGTAAGATCGGACTTGCTCGATGAGTTAATTAAATCAGGGCAGTTGCTGGGAGTTAAATTCCTTGCTGATTTGGGTGGGCCTTTGCAGCAGGTGAAAAGTATGTCAGGAAGTGTCAAGCCTGGCGCTTCAGAATGGCCCAGCTCTGAAACTAATGGCCTCGAAGTACAGAAACCTCCAACACCAGCTGGGGGCCAAAACCTAATTGATGAGAAGCCCGCCGTAACGGTCTCGTTGCATGGGGGAGCGTGTGATTCTGCAAAGATTACCATTAGTGATTCTGACGATGACGACGTCATTTTCTGCTCCGAGCTTGTGCCTCCAAAGGACTGTCCCCTGGAGCCTACTGTAGTAGCACAGAGCCAGCCTTGCCTAAATCCTGTGGGAGTCCCTGACCAAATAAATTGTACCAGCAGTTCCCCGCCTCAGTCAGCGACAGCGACAGCTCCGAGGCTTGACTCATGCCCTGGCCAGTCAAATCCAACTGAAAACCAAGTACCTGCTGAGCCATTTGTCCCCTCGCTTCCAAAACCTGCGGCTTCAAATATGCTTGTGTTAAAAAGGCCGCAGATTGGAGCTTTGCCGAATGCTGGCTCATCGCATGAAATAGAGGTATCTCCTATCCCCGAAGAGAATCAGCAGCCATCTATTAACGACTCCTTAACTGACATGGAGACCAATGCCATTGATGAAGAAGAGGATGAGGATGAGGATGTTGAAGATGACGACATCCTCGGTTCGTCCAGCCCAGGGTCAGCAAGCAGCAGTTCTTTGGTCCAGCAGCCCACCACCCCTAAAGCAGCCGCTGCACCTGATGCCACAGGAGTACAGAAGAAGCATAGTCCTAGCTTTCCCCAAGAAGCAGTCTCCCAACCCAGGAAGTTCAAAAAGGAAGTTTCTGATGTTCTTCCTGGGAGCAACAAGGAAGCTCCAGCGGGCTCTGTGCCGAAGCACGTGACGGAAGGCCAGAAGACCATCACTTTAGATAAAGCTACTGAGATAGAAGGCTTGTCGACAGGTTGCAAGGTTTATGCAAACATCGGTGAAGATACCTATGACATCGTAATTCCTGTGAAAGATGAAGCTGATGGAGAAGTGCAGTCGGATGACATGCCCAGAACATCGGGGGACGATTCTACAAACAGGAAGCGCCTCAAAGTGAAGCATGATGATCACTACGAGCTCATCATGGATGGCAAGGTCTACTACATCTGCATTGTGTGCAGGAGGTCTTACGTTTGTCTTACAAGTTTGCGGAGACACTTCAATGTGCATTCTTGGGAGAAGAAGTATCCATGTCGCTATTGCGAGAAGGTTTTTCCTCTTGCAGAGTACCGCACCAAGCATGAGATTCACCACACCGGGGAGCGGCGGTACCAGTGCTTGGCATGTGGCCAGTGTTTCATCAACTATCAGGTCATGGCCACGCATGTAAGATCGGTTCACAGCCAGGATCCTTCTGGCGAGTCCAAGCTATATCGCCTGCACCCCTGCCAGTCTCTGCAGATCAGAAATTATGCATATATTTCAGGTAGTTCCAGCAATATACCTATGGTAAATGACAATGCTCTTGTTTATCCTGTTGACCCTGCAAAAGAAGCCCCTCAAGAACCAGCCCCTAACCCTTCAGCAAAGCCAATGACCTGGGATGATATCTTTGTTCCGCAGGGAAATGAATCACTATTCAAACAAAATCCATCGGATGGCAGTACTGAATTTGAGTTTGTTATACCGGAATCTTACTGAATCTTCTCTCTGATCGAAATAGAAATATAGATATATATATATAGATATATATAAAGAAAAACTTCTTTAAATGGGCTGCTTGAAAAAAGTTGTAGGACATCTCATGTTATATAACAAGTCAGTGTGTTAACTCCTAGCCAACAAAATGTAGTATGTTAAGACTAGAATGCCTATAAGTTTCAGAGATGCTTGTGAAAGAAAATTGGTCAGGGAAAGAAAAACGCTTCACTTGAATATGGGAAAAGGCACTTGAGAAGCTAGGTGTTAAATGTGTTTGGTTCATTATCATGGATCGAAATCTGGTGAAATAGTTGTTTGAAAAGGTGTGGCTTCTTTACAGTAAAGGTAACTCACAACTTATGCATTTATAACCCATGCGCATTCAGCTTCATGTGTTTGGCAAAAAAAATTTTTTTTAATTAAACAGGGGGCAGATGTCCAGGAAAAAGGACTGTGACAATCCCTCCTGCCATTGAACCCAGTGTGTTTTGACCAAACATGACTTTGGCATTAGGTGCAATCCCTGGAACATAACCCCCACGTAAGTTGAGAGTCTTTTGTAATGAGAAATGACCCCGATAACTTGTAGAATAATGGGAACATTTCTTGCCTCTTTAACCACTTATTATGTAATCCCTTCTTTCATGCTAGCAATTTAAAACTGATTTTTTTTTTAATTGTTTGAGACTACGTAAAGGCAGTCTGGATAGGTTTCCTGATTATAGCTAAGTTCTTTTTTTATAGTAGAAATCATTGCACTCCTTTTAACTTAATGGAAAATACAGTGTTGTTGCGGGAGGGTATGTGAAGGTCCAATCATCCTGTCCATAAATCAAATTATTTTCTAAGTGGCATCCTAAATCTGTTCTGCTCCAAAATAACCATTCTGCCTTCACAAAAATTGCGCATAATGTAAGCTTGTTATCTTGGAGGAGAAAAGATGCTATTTGTTCGAAGAAGCCTGAACAAGTTTTATTTATATTTGGTAATTAAAAAGACGCAGTGGCTGGACCATTGTGTTCTATCCTTCAACACAGGAGGGGCTTTGTCAGCAAAATTGTCCAGTGACATTGCCCTTCTTCAGTCTGCCCACATTTTCTACCCTCCAATATCAAGGAATTATGTCAGACCCTCCTTTTGCTGAAATCATGTTGGTGGTTTGGATTAAGCTGCCGTTTTCCATTTAGCTTACTACCATGGGAAAAGGTGGTGACAGATATAACTGTATAGGTGGGTTTTTGTTTTTGTTTTGTGCTGAAGGGTGTGGAAGCTGTTTCCCAAAGTTACGCTTCAACTTACATTTAATTAGCGTGCATTCATGTGCTTGGCAAAACGTTTTTTTTAAAGGGAGCAGAAAGGAGGAGAGTGTTCAGGGGTAAAAAAAAGGCTGGCAATTACAGCTGCTATTGCACCCAATGTGCTTTGACTCTCCCCAGAACATAACCCCCGTGTAAGTTGCGGGCTTACTGTCATTTCCCCCCTAATTGAACTTATTTATAGTTTTTCATGAACTTAGTTTGACTTCATTTCAAGGTAACTGTCAGGTTAGTTAGGAGTTCTGATAAGGATTTAACATCTCACATACGTTCACTGGCAGGGGTGTGTCAGGTCTCAGACATTGTGCCTGTTTACTCCCCCCTCTTGCACAATGTTACACATTTTTTAAAAATGCTGTGGTTATAGTAAAAGTCCATCTTTAGGGGGGGGGAGCTTGTCCCAAGTAAACTGCTCAGCAGTCATGTAGTCTGTTGCTTTACACTGAACGACGTCCTAAATTCTTGTAAATTACGCGGGGTTGTAGGGGGTGTGTGGAGACGTTATAGAAGACGGGAAAGGATTGTGATGAATAGAAGTAGCTAGAAATCAGTGGTATGTCGTTAAAATCTCTTCTTCCCACCACTTTAGAATTCCCTCTCCCCGTGTTTTGTGAAATAAACATTTCATTTTAAACGCAACCACCTCTGGACCTTAATTTTAAGAACATAAGAATAGCCTGCTAGATCGTGCCAATGGCCCATCTAGTCCTGCGGCCTGTGGCCAACCAGGTGCCTGCGGGAAACCAGAAAGCAAAACATGAGCACAAGAGCACTCTTCCCTTCTATGGTTTCCAGCACAGCTATTTGGAACCATTGCTGCCTCCAACTGTGGAAGTAGAGCATATAGCCACCATGGCAAGTAGCCATTAATAGCCCTCTCCTTTAGGTACTTGTCTAATACTCTTTTAAAACCATCCAAGTTGTTGGCCATCACTGCTTCCTGGGGAAACTAGTTCCATAGTTTGACTATGTGCTGCATGAATAAATATTGAATCTTCAAACGTTCAGCTTCATTGGATGTCCATGAGAGGGGGAGAATTTTTAAAAAATCCACTTCTTTCACTATTTTATAAACTTTTATCATCTTTCCTCTTCCTAGCCCTTTCTCTAAACTAAAAAGTCTGTAATCTTTCCTCTAAGGAACGTCACCCCCATTTTTCATGGCTGTTGCACCACTGGTTTGACGTCTTAGCCAAGCCCTCTGCCATGACCCCCCCCCAAGGTCTTGCTCCTGGTCCTTCACCTTTAGATTTTAATCCCTTGATTAAAAAAATATATATCTACTTTTCTGGCAAGAAAGTAAGGTCTGTTGAAATGCGATAAGCTATGACAAAAAGGATGTTGGAAATCCATGTTTGCAGTAATGGGCAAAGGTCCTTTGTTATCTAGACTGAGAATACATTTTGTTTATGGGGGAGGGATTAAAAAGAAAATATTTCCATAAATCATGTTTTAAAGTGAGTGGTTCATATTTAAATCTGTCATTTGTGGTGGTGATGATAATTTTAATCACTAGTTGAAATTGGTGTGTTCCTTCTGGTACAGGAGGCATGCTTCAAGTTTCTCTAAAATTTTAGGAGTGAACCAGATCCCTGTTAAAGAGAAAATATTAGCAAAAGAAAAGTTGCTTTGTGCTAAGTAAAAATTGCTCACTATTGCTTCAAATGATAGGTTTTGTGCATCTTATAGCAGATGCTGGTTAGGGAGTTAAACAACCTACACTTCCAGAGAATACTAGTGGCAGCGCAGAGGAAGGAGTACAGAAATAAACCATGATACACAGCTGAGAATAATAAAGGCCACAACTTTATTGATTGATTACAGCGAATAGATTTAGTGTAGGCCCAGGGCATGAATCAAAAGACTGAACAGCCTGAGTGCTGGTGGATACTCATACAACCAACAGGGGGTTGTCCAAGGTCAGGGTCCCCTATAGCATGTACAGCTTTGAAGCAAACATGGACAACCTGGTAGGGAGTGCTGTGACCCTTCAGCCCCCAAACTGGTCTTTTGGACAGGGAGCACCACCCTTCCAAGTTCCCTTAAGGGGAACTCCCCCTTCTCACTTCCCTTCTTAGATTCCAGACCCAATGCCTTTGCTGCCACCAAAGGAAAGATGAGGGCAAATGGGGAGGGTGCCTCTCCATTTAACACCCCCCCCTGCAACTATACCTGAGAAAGGGCGTCTTATTCCAGTCCTGGGTTGGGCAACAGATTCCTGCATTGCAGGGAGTTGGACTAGATGATCCTCATCCCTTCCAGCTCGCAGCTCTGTCCTTGTCCTGCACTGCGCCACTGCAGATCTAGGCTCCCTGGTAATTTCAGGAGAACCGGGACATAATTGCTGAAACTATTTAAAACTTAAAGGGATCATATCCTACTCAGTGTAGGCTGATTGAAATTAATGAACCCAAGTTGTTCACTTCCATTATTTTCAGTGGTTCTACTCTTGAATATGACTTCATGTTGGATACAGCCCCAAATCATGCCAATAGAAGGCGTCTTTTTCTTCCCCCCCCCTTTTGATTAAGTGTAAAAGAAAACTGGACAATAGGGTTCCAAGCTGTATGTTTTTGGTAGAAGAATCATACATGCAGGCATCTCAGGTTCCTTGCTTTTCCTAGGAAGAAAGTTTCAGTATCCAAAGTTGAAAAGTCCGTATAAAGTGTGTTTATATTTTTGAAATCCTCTGCTTTTAGTAATTATGGGTTGTAGATGACGCCTTTCTGTACCTTCAGCCATTTTTGTGACACCCTATCGTTTCGATATTAAAGCACCTACCTGACTTTTGCTTTTTGTAGGGTTAAAAAGAAACACCTTTGGTTTCTATCCTCACTTATCACCTTTCTGTAAATATTAGCATGTTGACTGTGGGGAGGAAGGTTACTGTAACCTAAAAATGTGTTTGTACAGAAGAGCTAGATATTAACCAGAAACCCCATAGCAAATCTGTACTCAAGGTTAAAATAATAGTGGTTTATTGACACCATTCCAAACGTGTCCTGCTTGGAACTAAGTGCCCTTGATTTTGGTTGAACTTGTTTCAGGCGAGTTCTGCTGCGTCCATCTTGCACGTTACCCTGAATAAGGTGGCACACTTCTGGAAGTACCACATCAGTCTGCATTCGTGTTTTTCGAGTGCTTTGCCCATCACCTTGCATACAGCAAGGGAGAACAGTTCAGCATATCCCTCTTCTTGCAAGTTTAATGCATGACACCTGACCATAGCTGCCAACCTTCCCTTATTCCCTTATTCCAGTTCCGCTTCCCGCTGCTATCCCAGATTGTTAGATATCCCGTAGACTGTCCCCGGGACAGGTGAGGCTGCTGATCCCTTATTTTCGAGGCTGCTGATCCCTTATTTTCAAATCTGAAAGTTGACAGCTATGATCCCGGATTGTTAAGATATCCCGTAGACTGTCCCCGGGACAGGTGAGGCTGCTGATCCCTTATTTTCGAGGCTGCTAATCCCTTATTTTCAAATCTGAAAGTTGACAGCTATGCACCTGACCTACCTGCAGACTGAGGTGGTACAGTCTTTGATTCTGCCACCACCTTTCTGTATACAGTTGTACCTCGGTTTACAAACTTAATCCGTTCTGGAAGTCCGTTCTTAAACAGAAACCATTTTTAAACTGTGGCATTCTTTCCCTAATGAGGCCTCCCACCGCTGGAGCCCTTCCACCGTTCGGATTCTGTTCTTAGACCGAGGTATAGTTTGCAAACCAGGACACTACTCCAGTTTTGCAGAGTTCGTAAGCCGAATAGTTTGTAAACAGGGCTGTTCTTAAACCGAGGTACCACTGTAATATATACAAACAACCCTTAAGTCCAAGTAAGTGGTATTGCGAGGGTGAGGTGGGTAGGAGAGTGTTAAGTTCTCCTTAATGATTTCTTTTCATAATCCATATCATGACATTCCAGTATAAAATTAAAACACGCAAGGGGGGAATATCAATGCATTGCGTATTTATTTCCTACTAAAGCATAGAACTTTCTTTAAGGGGTGTGGGCCGTGGTTTATTCCATACTGGTTTCTACTGAGCTTTATCCTTTTTAAAAAATAATATTGAATCAATACAGTACTGTAATGTATATAATTTGTAGTTTTTTTCCTTAACATACTTTTTTGGGAATTGTGTTTTGCTTTTCATTAACCAATACTTGACCTTTAGTTCTTAGAGCTTTGTATGGCAAAAAAATAAAAAGCTATTAATTTTCCCAATGCGCAAACAGTTTATTATTGAGAGAAAAAAACAAAAACAGTTGTTTCTGGGATTGCTGTTCATGGATGGCTTTTGCTGCTGCCCAGTTTTTGAAAGTCAGATTTGGATTCCTTTGCAGGCATAAACTGAAGGAAAGAGGCGATTAATCTGAATAGGGACAATGACAAGTCTGCAGGGTCCAATGTCAGGTCCAGAAGCGGTTTAGTCATGCTGGCCAAATGACATGGAAATCTGCCTGTGGACAAACGCTGGCTCCCTCGGCCTGAAAGCGAGATGAGCGCTACACCCGAGTCGCCTTTGACTGGACTTACCCATCCAGGGCTCCGTTACCTTTATTTACCAATGAAAAACCATTGTTTTAGCTCATTTATATAGTATGTCTCAAAATCTAATTGGTTTTGCTGTTGTTGTTTTCAAAAAATATTATTTATTCAGACTAACCCTGCAGTTTAGCAAAACAACAACAGGAAGTATCCCAGAGCACTTTACATAAGCTTATCAAAAAGGCTTGCATTCTAGAAGACATAAAGGGGAGCCAACAAGCAGAATTCTTAAACAGGAATTATAAAAAGCAGCTGAGATTAAAACAATTCAGGGAGAAAAGGCAATGGAATGGCTCTGCTTTGCATCTCTTTATTTGCTGTCGCCTGATGCCAAATGAGGAAGGGAAGCATGGCAGAGCTGGTGTCCTACAGTGGAGGCAATCAAGTTACCCAGTGTCTCTTCTCCCTTGGGAGTAATTCTCAGAGCTCTACATCCAACTCAAGGCGCAATCTACTTGTCCCTTATGACAACTGGTGACCCTGGGTCGAGCTGCACATCAAAAGATGGACCTATCAGTTCAGGAGAGTTAAACTGTGATGCAAACGGGACATTGGTACCAGCTACGCACAAGAGAGGCTGCTTTTGTGCACATATTTTTGGCTGCATCGGGGTAAAAGAATGTGGAGTCATTTTGTTATTATTCCATTCATTTAGCTTGTGTTTTATATAGGTGATTGGTTTTAAAAACGTTTTTGTTTAGGAAGCACTTTCCACGTCAGCTCCTTTACTGTGGAACTTCAGAGCATCTACTGCAGACACACACACACACACCATTTTGCAGCAGATGGTGTGTTTTCAAGGGTTCACACAATTCACTGGCTAGGCCTTTATTGCCCATGTGAGCTGAGAAGGAACCCTGTAGCAGCACACCCAACATTTCCCCCAAATTTCCCTTGTTGAGAAAGTCCCTCAGCCCCTCTAGATTGGTGTCTTTTTGTGAATGTGTTCTGCAACATGTCTTTATGCAATAATAGTGCATTATTATTCTGCTGTACTAGTAGTTCTGTGATGCTTCCCCAATGTTATCTGGAGGGGGCACTCTTGCACTACAGCAGAACAACTAGGACAAAAATAAAATAAACCAGGACATCTGTAGTACGAAACGTGCATGTTCTGTTAACAGGGCTTGATGCTACGTTGCTACATGTCCACTTAGTGCATGTTCTGTATCTGTCCCCAGACTGTTGCAGGCTAGATCAGTATGGAAAGCACGACTGCGTATAACTGCCCCAATACCATTATGAGCAAAAATAATAAATAAGCTGCCCAGAGTCGTTCGCGACTGGACTTAACTGTCAGGGGTCCTTTACCTTTTTTTTTAGGAGCATAGAAAACTGCCTTGCTCCAAGTTGATGCATTTGCCCATCTAACCCAGTATCAAGCAGGCATTTTCCCCATCACCTGCTGCTACCTGATCTTTATTTAAACTCTAAGCCTGGGATCTGAATGCAGAGTGTGACCTACCACTCATTTATTGGCCCTCCATTTGTTTGCTAGCTGTGAAAAGAAGCAGCGTACTTTTCATGTTCACCCTCAAATGCTTCTCTTTGTTACCAGTGCCTTAAATACAAGCAGCTCACCTCACCTCTCTCCTTCTCTGCCAACAACCCTTTCTTGCCTAAGTTCTTTTGGTCAAAAGCCTGTACTTAAGAATTCTTGCAGTTATTTACAGTGACCAAAATTCAGCTGCAGAAGTGGGATTATAATGGAAGCCATGTTTCTGTGCAAACACAGGGGGGGGTGTCCCCAACATGGTGCCCCTCCATATATCATTAGACTACATCTCCCAGTAACCCCTCTGCATTGGCAATGCTGGCTGGGGCTGATAGGAGTTGTAGTCAAACAGCATTTGAAAGGCACCATGTCTCCTTAAACACTTTGTATAGCTGGGAGTGAAACCCTTTGTACTGCCAGCAGATGAGAGTTCGGGGCCAGGCTGTTTAAGCATGCTGTTCCTTTTAAAAAGCATGCTAGGGTTTGCTGTTCCTACTTGTATTGCTCACCTACTGCCTCCCTTTATTCCTTGCCCAACCCTCCACAGCTCCTTCAAGGCCCCCCACCCACCCATATACACAGCTCTTCTGCATCCTTCCAACCCTGCTTTATTCATACCTCTGCTGTTGTTTATAGCCACCATTCTAAAACCTGTCTTCTCCCCTCCTCCACCTTGAATCGATGCAAATCCAAGTTAGGAGGTGCTACACATTCTCTTAATGGGGCTGTATAGTGACAGCCTTACGTTTTTATGTATATAGGCAGATATGCCGTTTATAGGGATAAGAATTTGGGAACGAGCTAACCCTGCCACAAAATTAAAACGTAAACAAAATTCTTACCATTTTTATTTTTATAAATTATTCCGAGGGCACATGAACCATGTGTGCATTACATTCTCACAAGAAATGGATTTGAAGATGATAATACAGCGCATGTGACTTCTGTGTTTACATTTACAGGTGATTGCATACACTTCTATCAAAGCTAAAAAGCAAACTGGTCACCAGGGTGGAGATAACTGCTATTTTCTTCATGTAAAAAAAGAGACTTTTTTAAAAGCAGCAATGACACTGTGACATAACCATTCCATTTGTTCAAATGTCTTTGGCACTCAATGATAATGAAATCTAAAGGTACTGTTAGAAGCCAGCCCTGTTCTAGAGTAGACTCTTAAGAGTATGATAGCAGGGATTGCTATACAAATGAGGTTAACACAATTAATGAAATCCTAGCGCAGAGTCAAACCCTCCCACTCCAAAAAGCTCGTGCCCCAAGATATTCTGGAGAAAAGGTGGACATGGGGCAAGGATGTGTTTAACTGCTCTGCTGAAGTTGCTTTGAAACCTGACAAACCTTGAGCAAAGCCCTGCAGATGGGAATGAGAACACCACAACATTTTGGAAAACCTTGGGCTTATGATGCAAGAGAGCACGCCCGTTTTATATAATGCCGAATGAACTAGAAGCTACACTGAGGAACCTGTGGACTTCAAGTTGCCGGTCTCCAGCTTTTGGCGTCGCTGATGACGACTGCTATCTGCAGCTGATGGAATTTAGAGTCCAATGCCATCCGACGGGCCACAGGTTCCCCAGCCCTGATGGAAAACATCTCTTAAAATCCTCAGATGATTTTAGGCAATGGGTTTTTAGGCAATGAAAAACTTTTATAGCACATTCCTATCTTTGGCTATTTTGTAAGTAAAACTCACCGAGTTTGATTAGGCTTACTGCAAAGTAAGTAGATGCAGCCTTGCAGCTTTAGTGTGATGTCGAGGCAGTGGCATTAATGAGAAGAGAAGATCCAGGCTATTGAAATGCACAACTCTTCAGCTCAGGCTTTTTTATCACCTGCTTCTGTGACTTTACACAATGAGGTTGGCCTGGAAGATAGGGGAGGTGCCAGTGTCTGGAGTCTACCATGCTGGCTAACCCTGGTTTGTGCAAAGCATTCTGTGAATCCCAAGCAAACAGTGAACTGGTGAATGAATTGACAAAGTGAAAAGAACATGCTCTGATACCTGTTTTTGTACAACTCTTTCCTCCCCACCTCCCGAGAATGAATAGCATTCAGTCTCTGGCCACAATCCAGAACAGCACTCAATTGGTGATAGGACACACAAGCTCACAAAGTCACAAATACGGAAGTATTAAGATGCTTAGCACATATATTAAGCCTGTGGTAGCCAATGTAGCGCCCTGGAAATGTTGCCGGACTACAACTATCACTCCAGCAGGCATGGCTAATGGTGTATAATGGTGTAGCTCAGAAACATCTGGAGAGCACACTGGATACCCCTCTATTAAGCAATGCAATTCATGGCTTCCCAAACTCCTCCATCTCTTACAGCTTAAAATACAGACTTGATTAGCTACCATGAAGCAATTACACAATTCAGGTATTTAAATGTTGCAGTAAAATCTCTTTCATGTGTTTTCCTCCCAAACGCCAAAAAGTAGGTTAGGCTGGCGGCTCAGTGGGAATTTGAACCTAGGTCTGCATTGCTGTTTGCAGTGAACCATGGTCCGATTCACCAAACCGGCCACACATACAAAATGCAACATTCTAAATTGCTAGAGCTGTGAAAGCTAAAAGCTTTCCAATTGCATTGTTCTTTAAAATACTAGTTTTTCTTATTCGGGGCAAATCCCCTTGCTTCGAACTCAGTCACAAGCAGAAGCAGCCCTTTATAATAAATTCATTAAGGTGTTTGTTTGTTTTTTAAAAGCAGGAATCTGCAGTCCACTTCATACTGTGGTGGACTTTGCAAATAAGGGGAGAGATCTGTAAGAAGACACAGTGAACACTCACTAAGTATCCGTGGTTTTTTTTGGGGGGGGGATGACGACTTGCAATTATATACCGTATTTTTCGCTCTATAAGATGCACCAGACCACAAGACGCACCTAGTTTTTGGAGGAGGAAAGCAAGAAAAAAAATATTCTGAATCTCAGAAGCCAGAACAGCAAGAGGGATCGCTGAGCAGTGAAAGCAGCAATCCCTCTTGCTGTTCTGGCTTCTGGGATAGCTGTGCAGCCTGCATTCACTCCATAAGACGCACACACATTTCCCCTTACTTTTTAGGAGGGAAAAAGTGAGTCTTATAGAGCAAAAAATACGGTACATACCTGCTTCAAACATTTGAGTGTTCCCTATTAAGATGTATGAGAGACTGCAACATAAAGTGTAAATCAGACCACAATTTCCTAGGATTTGTACAAGCTGAAGATTCTGCATGCAGAGTTGTGTGTCATTTGAAGCTGACTATGTAAGCCTATGAATAATGCAGGCATGCAGTCTAGGTCTAGCTGCACAGCTTAGAGGACAGTTAATGTTAGCCTCAGTTCCTGATCACCCAAGAGTCCCAAAATGGCTACACTGAACACTCTCTACTTGAGGGACTCCAGTGGTGTGAAGACAGGTGGGGAGCCTCCTCTTCTTGTGGAGGCTGAGCTGCTTGCACTATTTAAACCCCCCTATTTGTGTCAGTTTCACGGGGAGCCGGCCTTATAATGAATCAGAACAATGGTCCATCTAGCTGAGGATTGTGTGTATACTGCCTGGCAGCAGCTCTCCAGGATTGCAGGCAACGGTTTACACAGTAATGCCAGGGATTGAACCTTGGAACTCCTATATGCAGGGCAAATGCCTTATTACTGAGCAGCAGAAGCAGCCACTGTGAGTACGGAAGACCTCCAGTTGCAGAACTTTAATATAAAATGGGGTGTGGAGGATGAGCTGTAAGGGGTGGGCTTTGGCACCCCCTCCCCACATCTCTTACATGTGTTTGTTTACATGCAGAGTGCCTGAACACCCAAACAGGGCTTATGTTGGAACAAATGATGGAAATCCAGTGCTTGAAGGTGCTAAGCAGCTTAATTAGCATCCTCTTGCAAGGAAAGAGGGGGAAGTTACATTTGATCATGTGCATCCAGCCAAACTGTGTGGCTCTTGTGCTGTTTAAAAGAGCAGAAAATATTTGGCATAGCACCTATTTTTGATTGTGGCTATATTAAAAACCTAACTAGGAAAATAAAGGCTGGTTTATATGTATCCATCACCAACATATGTAAAGATAAAAACTAGTGTGTGAAGCAACCTTTGTTTTTCTACTGTGAGGTAATGCTCACAGAATGTCGCTAGGTGTCAGTAGAATGCCATTGCCTAACAAACAGCTGCATCTACAGTGACCTTCAATTCCCATTCAAAGGCCTATTTTCAGTGTGCAAAATTAAGGCTTCATATATCTATTATTATTATTATTATTATTATTATTATTATTATTATTATTAATTCCTCCTACTAGTCTAGAGCATTCATTTCATACACTCAAGCTCTTGGGTTCCTCCTTTAAATCTTCACCGTCAGCTACATTCCACTGAGCCCAGCAATTTTGTTAAAGAGGACAAAAGGAATTATGAACACCATTTTATCAACACCTTTTGAGAAAAGCAGGGTGTGCCTGATTAGCCACACAGCACTTTCAGCAATTTGCTCAAAGTGACCAAACCCTCAAAGCAACAAGTCCACAGCGGCCAACTAATCATGATGGATTTTGAAGAAGCAAACAGAGCAAGACTGCAGGTGCTGAATGCAGGATTTGTCCCTTCTTGCTGCTGGCACTTAGCATCAATTTGGCCTAGGCCTGGTCTATGGGAAGACTGTTGCAGGGTTCCCCTATTTTAAATGGATTATGTATGCTATGTAATAAGTGTGCCCCCTCTCTCTTCCCCACCCTCCCTCCAGTACAAAAAGGTTTCACAATTAGTGGCACAGTTTCTACCCGTCCTTCATGGCGTGTAAGGTGGTGGCTTTTCAAAAGGTGGAAAATACGGTGGGGAGTAACGAGGAGGAGCAGTAGGGGACCAGACGTAGCTTGGCGACGGTGACACCGACAGAGGATCGTCAGAAAGGCCAGATGGTGTGGAGGCCGGGAAGACACTGGAATGCTGCAACGAAAGGGAGAGAGGTGGCTTCAGCACAGAGAAAGCTGCCTCAAACACAGCCCAATCTTTGGTCCTTCTAGCTTAGCATTGTCAACACCACCGTGGGAGGGGGAATCCTAGTCCTGAGAGCCAAATGCGGACTCTAGGCCCCTATTTCTGGCCCTCAGGTCTCTACCTGGGCAGGCCTCCCCAGCCCTGGTGATACCTCTTACCTGAGAGCCACTGCCAGTGAGTGCAGCCTGTACTGAGCCAGGTGTAGCAGTGATATGACCTGGAATTAAAACAGCTTCCTAGGTCATGCACTTCTGAATTATATACAGTGGTACCTTGTTTTGAGTCCGGGATCCGTTCCAGAGCCCTGGACGCTCAACAAAAGGGATGCTCGATAAAGCGCCGTTCTGCGCATGCGCGTGGAGTGGTTTGTGCTTCTGCGCATAGCACAATTTAGTGCTTCTGCGCATGCGCAAGCAGCAAACCCGGAAGCAACCTGTTCCAGTACTTCCGGGTTTGCTGCGGACATTCGCCAAAATGGATAGTGGACGGGGCGGATGTTCACGGAGGTATTACTGTATATAAATCCCTGCTTCATAGAACTGTAGAGTCGGAAGGGACCACAAGGGTCATCTAACGCCCTGCAACGCAGGAATCTTTCTGCACGATGTGGGGCTTGATCCCGCCACCTTGAGATGAAGCATTTCATGCTCTGCTGACTGAGCTATCCCAGTAGCCCAGTTCAAGGTCCTTACAAGAATTCCACACATGACGAGGCGCTGGTTGTTACCTTTTACGACCTGGCTATTAGGCATTTCAGGGAGAGTTTATCTTTATATCACCTCCCTTGCTAGGGCATGTTGAATTTTTAAGCTTTTGAATTCCAGAATGAGGGGTGCTAAAAAGTTGTAACATGGCTTGGGAATTCAAAAGATATTTTGGTTAAATTAATATAATTTAGTTTCGCTTGGTTAAGTAAAATGTGTGTGAAATTGCATAGAAATCATTAAAAGAGACTGTCAAGTACTTGCAGTTATACTGTATGTTTATATTATTTGTATTTATTATTCCTATTGTTTAGCACTTGACATTTTCAGAAGGTAAAATTGGAATTCTTTGGTTTTCCGAAAGCAGTTTATGTGCTTCTTCATCAGGCACAGACTTGCCAAGCTAAATGTTGTCCAATCACAAAAATAATAGCAGATTTGAATTCCTCACACCCCAAAACACATATTTAAGACTTCTTACTGAAGAAATTTGTAAAAATTAAGTTTCATGCCCTACTTCCCCATGCCAGCTTCAAGGACCAACTTGGTGAAATATGAAGATCATCGCAGGAAGAGGAGGATCAATTTACCCCAGTAGTGAGAACCCTGATGCCCTCCAGATTAGAACTATAGAATCCAACTCTGGGCAATACAGGAATGTTTTGCCCAACGTGGGGTTCAAACCCACAACCCTGAGATAAAGGCTGGAACTACATCGATCTTTTAAACATTATTAAAGGTAAAGGTAAAGGGACCCCTGACCATTAGGTCCAGTCGTGACCGACTCTGGGGTTGCGGTGCTCATCTCGCTTTATTGGCCGAGGGAGCCAGCGTACAGCTTCCAGGGCATGTGGCCAGCATGACTAAGCCGCTTCTGGTGAACCAGAGCAGCGCACGGAAACGCCGTTTACCTTCCTGCCGGAGCGGCACCTATTTATCTACTTGCACTTTGACGTGCTTTCAAACTCCTAGGTTGGCAGGAACAGGAACCGAGCAACGGAAGCTCACCCCATCGCGGGGATTCGAACCACCGACCTTATGATCGGCAAGTCCTAGACTCTGTGGTTTAACCCACAGTGCCACCCGCTAGGACGATATTAAAAGTAACATTCTATAACGTTTAACATGCATTCCCCCTTTGCATACATGAGTGTATATCTTCCCAAAGAGTCTCATGCTCTACCGACTGAGCTAAACTCCCATCATTCCTTGATTGTCAGCCATATCATCTGGGAGCTGATGGGAGTTGAAGCCGCATAACAGCTGAAGGCCCACAGGTTCTCTACAATTAAACAGGCTGAAACTGAGCAGAAAAGTGAAATGTGTTTCACCAAACTTGCAAAAAAAAAAAAGGTGAAATTTGGAGCCAGGAACAGAGGCGAAATGACAGCAAGATGAAGGCAAAATAGTTTTCTGTCCTCCAAAAGATGGAACATAAAAGACTGCATAGAAAAAAGAGGCAGTTGTAACATAACTGCTTGATGGTGCACCCCCTCTGTAAAAAAACAGATTACTCTCTTAAGTAAGCACAGCAGCCATTTGACCCAACATACCTGGAAGTCATAGGCTGAATATGGCGGCAGGTGAGGCGTGCTGTGGTAATATGTATTGTATGACGTCACCTGGGGTCTCGAGTAGTAAGATACAGTGGGCCGTGCATTTTCAACTGTGCAGTTTATAGCAGGAAGTGAGGGAGTCTATGAACACAATGGAAAACAGAAAACTCACTTAGCTTGTGGTCCATTTATTCAAATGGCCGGAGGAGATCAGAATACTGCAAGAGAAATGGGAAAAGTACAGATCTTGCCTGTACACTACGATCTACCTCAGGGGTCCTTCTCAAGTGTCCCACTGTTGGGAACCTCCTGGCCATGGGCCAAATCTGGCCTGAGAGGCCTTCTCATTTGGGCAGCTGGGCTGCTCTTCCCAAACCACACCCACCAGTCCCACCCCTGACATCCTATATGACATCAGGTATATGGCTGTAAAAAGCAGGGTTGAAATATTCCTGTGCATCATCTGAAATGGGAGGAGCTCCGTCCTAGTTGGTTCAGGTGTGTAAGGAACTCTCCTCTGCACCCAAATCCTGCAGAATGTAAGATTAGATCCCTCTGCCCATTAGCTAATGCATGGGGGAGTTCAATCGCCTTTACTCTGTGGGCCAACTCTGACAGGTGGGTGGGACGATCTACCCGAGATCAATAGGATGACAGAAGATGGAAAAGGTGTGTAGTCATGTTCACCTGTCAAAGCTGGCCTACAGGCGGGAGGATATAATTATCTGACTTGCCAGGACAAAAAGATTCCCCACCCATGAGTTTGGTCGTCATGCACAAGAAACATGGCCTTTCCTGTAGTGGCTCTGAAAACTACGAAACACCTTCCTGATGGACTTGCACCTTGCCACTTGAATTCTGGCATTTAGGGAGGCCACAAAGCCTTTCACACTTCATGGCTGCCTTTAGTAGCTACCAAAAATGTCTCATCACCTTTAACTGGTGCCCACTCAAAATTGCTCTGGTCTCCAGAGCAGCTACTCATTTTTAATCTCTCTATCTTCTGCTGTGTCTATTTCAGTGTTTCCTACCTTGGGTCTCCAGCTGTTTTCAGGCTACAGTTCCCATCATCCCTAACCACTGGTCTTGCTAGCTAGGGATGATGGGAGTTGTAGTCCAAAAACAGCTCAAGGCCCAATGTTGGGAAACACTGGTCTATTTTAACTTGTCTCTCATTCCTTTGCACACCACATGGTGAGCACATAGCTCTAAAAAGTGGCACAACACGCTTGAAATAAATAAAAATTTCTACTTGTCTATGTTTCCTATGGACATCCTCTTACCATATCTTTAAAGCCTCCTAGGATTGCAGCAGTGATGATCCCGAGAAACAAGCCCACAATGTTCAAAATGGTTGCTGACCAGAGTAGGTGGTAAAGGTGAATGATATCTTGGCAGCTGCTGACGTCAATATACTCGTAATAACCACCGGAAATCTCCACTCTGTTCAATCCAAAGAAAGGCAAAACATCTTTCAAAAAGGCAAAACATCTTTCAGTAGATAATCCTCATTTTGGGACACCTTTGCTAGAGGGACGTAAGAACATAAAAGAGTCCTGCAGAACTACTGTTTTGGGAGGCAGGCAGGTATGGGGGTCTCCCTGGTCTTGAATGGGGTAACTGCACCCCTGAAGGACCAGGTGCGCAGCCTGGGAGTCATTTTGGACTCACAGCTGTCCATGGAGGCGCAGGTCAATTCTGTATCCAGGGCAGCTGTCTACCAGCTCCATCTGGTACGCAGAGACCCAGCTCCATCTGGTACGCAGAGTCTCCCAAGTATGGTGCATGCTCTAGTTATCTCCCGCTTGGACTACTGCAATGCGCTCTATGTGGGACTACCTTTGAAGGTGACCCGGAAACTACAACTAATCCAGAATGCGGCAGCTAGACTGGTGACTGGGAGCGGCCACCAAGACCACATAACACCGGTCTTGAAAGACCTACATTGGCTCCCAGTACGTTTCCAGGCACAATTCAAAGTGTTGGTGCTGACCTTTAAAGCCCTAAATGGCCTCGGTCCAGTATATCTGAAGAAGCGTCTCCATTCCCATCATTCAGCCCGGACACTGAGGTCCAGCTCCAAGAGCCTTTTGGCGGTTCCCTCACAGTGAGAAGTGAGGTTACAGGGAACCAGGCAGAGGGCCTTCTCGGTAGTGGCGCACGCCCTGTGGAATGCCCTCCCATCAGATGTCAAGGAAATAAAACAACTATCAGACATCTGAAGGCAGCCCTGTTTAGGGAAGTTTTTAATGTCTGGTGTTTTATTATGTTTTAAGTATTCTGTTTGGAACTACCCAGAGTGGCTGGGGAAACCAGCCACTCTGGGTAGTTAGTTAATTAGTTAATTAAAAATAAATTATTATTATTATTTGGCCAAAGGCCCATCTGGTCCTACATTCTCTTCTCATAGATGCCATTGGCAGAACCGCACTCCTTCACAGAGTGCGAAGTTAAAAGAGTGGGATTTGCTGTCACAAGTTGTGTGATGATGGCCACCAACTTAGATGGGATTTAAAGGGGGGTTAGGCCAATTCATGGAAGATAAAAGTTATCAATGATTACTAATCAAGGTGGTTAAGTGCCATCTTTAGGATCAGGGGGAGCATGTCTCTAGATAACATTTGCTTGAGATGGGAAACAATGGGAGATGGTTTATTGCCTTTTGTGCTCTGCTTTGTGCTTCTAAAGAAGGCTGATCGCCGAAGAATTGATGCTTTTGAATTATGGTGCTGGAGAAGACTCTTGAGAGTCCCATGGACTGCAAGAAGATCAAACGCATCCATTCTTAAGGAAATCAGCCCTGAGTGCTCACTGGAAGGACAGATCCTGAAGCTGAGACTCCAGTACTTTGGCCACCTCATGAGAAGAGAAGACTCCCTGGAAAAGACCCTGATGTTGGGAAAGATGGAGGGCACAAGGAGAAGGGGACGACGGAGGACAAGATGGTTGGACAGTGTTCTCGAAGCTACAAACATGAGTCTGACCAAACTGCGGGAGGCAGTGGAAGACAGAAGTGCCTGGCGTGCTCTGGTCCATGGGGTCACAAAGAGTCGGACACGACTAAACGACTGAACAACAACAACAAATTGTGCTTCCTAGAGGCACTTGACTGCCTACTGTAGAAAACAGGGAGTTGGATGTGTTAAGCCAGGTGTGGGGAACCACTGGCCTTCCAGATGTTGCCAAACTACAACCCCCATCAGCTGCAGCAAACATGACAAAACGCCAGGGGTGATGGGAGTTTAATTCAGCAAAATCTGCAGGGACAAAGGTTCCCCACACCTGATATAAGCCTTGGTCTTTTCCAGCAGGGGCTCTTCTTATATCACTGTATCATTTTCTCTGCATGGTAAATTTATAGTATTTCAGGAGGGCCTTTGGGGACCAGTTAGTCTTTCTGTTGCAAAAAAAAGAGTCCATTGTGGATTTTTCTGCTGCTCTGGTTTCAGATGGCTGTGATTGTTTAACATTAAAAACAGCTATCTAACAGGGTTTTTTTTGCACTTTCAAGTGTTCAAATCTTTTCACAAACATAATTTAACTGTAAGGTAAATCAGTGTTATTTTCCCCATTTTGCAGATGTGGGGAATAAGGCACATGACAACGCTGCTAGTCTCTGGTCAGTGAGTCAACAAGTCTGAACCAGGGACTTTTGGATCTGCAGCTCAGGCTGCAACCCTATATACCCTAGGGGTGGGGAAATCTTCTTGGGCCAGATCTTTATCTCCCTCCACCCTGTGGGCCAACTTTGACAGGTGGGTGACACCACCCACCAGTTAATTACCTAATGATGCTTACCCAACCTTGGTAGGCTGCATTAAACCCTCCTGACTTTAAGTAAACCACCAAGAACAGTAAACAGAAAAGAGTACAGAGGGACGATCTGACTTTGCTGGCTGCCAGCTGAATGACATGACCCACTAAAAGTTATCTCTGTAGCACAAAGCTCAGACCTCATTTGCACTTTACACTTAAAGCAGTATAATGCCACTTTAGTCATCGCTTGCCTCTAGGAATCCTGGGACCTGTTTTTTGTTAAAGGTGCTGAGAGTTGCAAGGAAGCCCCTATTCCCCTCACAGAACTATCATTCCCAGAGAAGTCTAATAAGCAATCCCTTTTCCCAAGGAATTCTGGGAAGTGGAGCTCTGTGAGGGGATAATCCTAACAACTCTCAGGGATGTGGGTGGTGCTGTGGTCAAACCACTGAGCCTCTTGGGCTTGCCGATCAGAAGATCGGTGGTTTGAATCCCCATGACGGGATGAGCTCCCATTGCTCTGTCCCAGCTCCTGCCAACCTAGCAGCTCAAAAGCATGCCAATGCAAGTAGATAAATAGGTACCACTGTGGCGGGAAGGTAAACGGCGTTTCTGTGCACTGCTTTGGTTCGCCAGAAGTGGCTTAGTCATGCTGGCCACATGACCCGGAAAAACTGTCTGCGGACAAACGCTGGCTCCCTCGGCCTGTAAAGCGAGATGAGCGCCGCAACCCCAGAGTCATCTGCAACTGGACTTAACTGTCCGGGTCCTTTACCTTTACCTTTTCACAACTCTCAGTGCTGTTAACAAATTACAGTTCCCAGGATTCTTTGGGGGAGAGCCACGGCTGTTTAAAGTGGAGCGATACTGTTTTAAATGTATAGTGCAGATAGGGTCTCAGCCTGAAACAACTCCTTCATACTCAAGACTGCAGGATTGACCCAGGGGCTTGAGCTCCCCCATTTCACTCTCTGCCTACAGGTGAGGCTTTTCCATGTCACTCACCTCCCACAGTTGTAGAGGTCGCAGCAGAAGCAGGTGTTGCCTTTGATCTTGGGCGTGCAGGGGCTGCGGTGCTGGGGGTGGCAGACTGCCTGTTTGAACAACAGAGACAGGGCTTACAGAAGCTGAAGGCCACCTCTTTCGGGAATTGGCAGGTTTGCTCCTACAGCATTTCCAGAAGCCCATTTCTGATTTGTACCACTTCTGCTTAATTGCAAATGGAAGAGCATGCAACAAACTTTTCAATATGCACTGATTTTATTTTTTTAACACAGAGGAGCATGTGCTTTCCTCCCCCTGTAGTCGTACAGTCTAGAAACATCATTTTCTGTTTATGAGAACAGGATTTCTGAAGGGCTGGAAAAGTTTGGTTCCTGCAGACCAGACAGGTGGAGTATTTGAACAGGCAACTTTAGAGATCAACAAATCTGCCAATTTGGGTTTTTCTCTCTTTCTCATTTTTCCAGCTCAGTTCTCCATGTTTCTGCATCCTCTCAAAAATGCTTATCCTCTCAAAAAGTCCTCTCAAAAATTTAGTGCAATTTTGTCCTAACATGCACATTTTTGTAGACAATTTTGTCTGATATACACATTTTTGCAAAGCAATATTATACATTGTTTCCACACATTTTTAAATGCACACTTTCCCTTAACATGCACAGTTTTTTACACAATTATTTGGTTGGAAAATTGCATCCCAATATTTGGAGAAGTGCAGATTTCAAAGGATGGCTGTGTTTCAGTTTGTGTATTGTTTTAGAAAGCATGAATTAGGTAGGTTTGCATTAAAATTCCAGCCAAACTGCATTTCTCCCCCATTTATCACCCAGAATTTCCTGTTCACTCATGTTGCAGAAACTGAGAGAACAGCAGCACAGTTACCTACCTCTGGCTGAGCTGTACTTTTGGAATAGTAGTGACATCGTCCTGCATACAGTGGTCTGAGATCCTGTAAAAAATAATAATAAGAAAAATAGTAGGGTAGAGTTTAAAAAAATGAATAAAGAGGAAGTGAATCAACCCTGTTTTTATTTTTTATTTTGCTGAAACAGTGGGCAGATGCTCAAATTAACCATATTTTCAGACATCCTACTGCCTGCTTGAAGGAAGCACAAAGGAAAACGACACCCAGTAGTGCACAAGAACATAACAACTGGCCTGCTATCAGAAAATTCTGGGAATCTATTTATAATGACCAAAAAAAAAATCCCTAAATACACCTTCATAAAAAAACCCGAGGCATTTCTGCTGGGGATAATTGGAGAGGAAATCAAAAAGGAAGATCAAACACTTTTTCAGTATGCAACAGTGGCTGCCAGAACTTTAATAGCGCAGAATTGGAGGACATCAAAAACCCCAACCATAAATGAGTGGCAATCTAAACTATTGGATTATTTAGAATTGGCAAAAATGACACAGAAAATAAGAAACCAAAAAGGCATAAAGTTTAATAACGAATGGAATAAATTTATGGTATACATGGAAACAGAACTAAAAAATTTAAAAACCACAGTAGGTGTGACATAACGCCTGTGACGCAAAGAGTTTTTTGAGGAAAAGAAACTGCAGATAGAGAAATTCTTAACACATTCCAAAACCGAGATGAAGGGAAGTCAATTTAGTGTTGTGTAAGTTAATGTAAGGTAATTTGTTGATGTCTTATGTCAGGTGATGTTCTTTCTCTCTCTTTTTTTTCTTTTCTCTCTTTATTATTATTATTTTTAAGTTTGTCTTATGTATTTTTTCTCTGTGTATTTATGTTTTATATGTTGTCTTTGTTTTATAATGAATTAAATCCAATTAAAAAAATTAAAAAAAAGAAAGAACTGGCCTGCAGGATCAGGCCAAAGTCTACCTTCCTGAGTGCTATCTGCAGCTGCTAGGGTTCCCATATGTCCCTCTTTTTCCAGGACATGTCCTCTTTTTCATGCATATGTAAAATGAGAGTCGTCATAGCGATCCACAGTTGAAAGTAGAAGTCGGCAAATGTGTCCTCTTTTTTTTCTTTCTCTTCAAAATATGGCAACCCTAACACTACAATACCACTAAGCACTATAATACCACTTTAAACAGCCATGGCTTCCCCCAAAGAATTCTGGGAGCTGTAGTTTGCTAAGGGTGCTGGGAGTTTTTAGGAGACCTTGCTATTTCCTACACAGAGCTACAATTCCCACAATTCACTGGGAAAAGGCACTGATTGTTAAACCACTTTGGGAAGTGTAGATCTGGGATGGGAACAGGGTTCTAATAATTATCAGCACCCTCTGCAGTTACTTGCAATTATTTGTGATTCGGCTAGGAGGTGTACACTTCCAATACAACCTTTCTATACATCTCTTCCTCCATTCTCAACCTATTTTTTATCACTTTGAAAAGCTCTTTGTTTGGGCTTTTATTGCAAATTACAGCATCCTTAATGGCTAATATCAGGAAAAGCCTCTGCAGTGCCCTTCAGCCAAGGAAGATAAGTGCAATAACACCCTCCTCATTGGTGCTCCCCAGCAACAGATACCTCTGATACTGGAGTCCTCTTGTGGAACACTCTCGTGTTATAGCAGAACAAAAGTGGCACAGAAACAACAAGGCAATGGAATATTTGTGGTTTGAAAAATGTGAGAGAGGCAGCCTGATATAACTAGCATGTTTAGCTCTAGTTAATGCATGAAGGAGTAAAGACTGTTGTTCCTAGAAGTGACCAGGTCACTTCCGCTAACTTCCTCACACAAAGAAAAGTTGGATTCTGCATCCCAATGCAAACTGATAGGCGTCTGTAGAACTTTGCATTTTATCTCGCTGTTATAACTACTTCACATAACTTATTTTGATTCTGCTAGTCATAGCAAGGGGCAAGCTGCTATAGCAGGCACTGACTTCACCCCCCAAATGCTAGGGATGTTAAACCTGTAGCTGAATGAGGTGGTAAAACAGGCAATACCACGTGTGTGTGTGTGTGTGTGTGTGTGTGTGTGTGTGTTTGTGTCACATTTTGAAATGCTTTTTCCTCTACAATGAAAACGAAAACACACCATGCAAACAGAAAACCAGCAAAGCAAACTGGGCTGGGCTATCACCTTTCTCCCTGGTGTGTTAGGTTAAGGATTTTTTTTTTTTTAATTGGTAAGGTGGTGTGTTTTTTTAAAAAAAATAGAAGGTAAGTGTTAAAAATCGGCACCTCCTCATCTGAAGCCTGAAATGGAACACCCTATGCTGCCAACTCGGGGCACCAACTTGGGCCGCAGGTTATGGATGGCCAGCACACCGATGTGACTTCATGACATCATGTTGAAATGTGATGTCATGACGCCCCACAGCCTCAGAACCTGACTTCCAGTGGCACCGCAAGCCAGGTTCTGAGACCTCACAAGGCGTTGGACAGCATCTCTGAGGTCTCGGATGTGACTTCGTCTGCTTTGCAACGCACTGGAAGTTGCATCAGGGGCCCTGCAGTGCGTGCTGAGCACCCACAACCAAATTTTTGTGCGTGCTCGGGCCCCGCTAGAGATGGCGCCCCTGCTGCCAACTCATTCCATTGCATGCATAGGCCAGGTCTCATGAGATCCTCTGGACTCCCCACTGAGCAATGCCCACATGCTTTCAGGCATGTTCATTGGCATGAGGACTAGTCTCTGGCTTTTCAAAAGCAACGCTGAGAATACCAAGAAACTGGATTCTGCACGCAAATCCTTTATTTTGTGCTTTCCCACAGCTCTCTCTGGCATGCAAGCATACAGCTCTGCTCACAAGCATGGAGGACGTGGCAACGCAGTCACATATCGCTGGTACTCACTATGTGCCTGGCAGCAAACACACCATCCACAATGGCACAGCAGAAGGCAGCGATGACGCCAAAGCTGATGAACACGATTGAAGCAACCAGCTGTGGGAAAAGATAAAGCTACATGGAGTCATCTGCTTCTATATTAAAAGAAAACATGCAAGGTTTTGCCCTATCCCCAATTATATTTTCTGGAGTTGCTGATTTATTGATATGCTGGCTGACAACTGCCCATTCCTTTTTTAAGCAGGTTTGTATAGTTTAATAACCCAGCTCAATCTGCTAATAGGAGCTAATGGTTAGATTTCTGCCTCATGAAATATCCTTTAAAATATTAATGTTTGGATATGAAAATGACAAGAAAATCACAGTATTTTTTTTTAAAAATCACATACCACAATACATCTATGCATATGATTCTTAAACACTCTCTCTCACAATAAATAATTAATAAACATTCAATGTGTACACAATTTCTTATTTTCACGAAAAAGCTATTGCTATTATTTAATATTATCATACAAAAATAGATTACAGCAATAAGCAACTACATTTTGACCTAGTGAACTTCTAGAACAGGAGTGGGGAAACTTTGGCCCTCCAAGTATTGCTAAACTACAACTCTCATCAACCCTACCAAGTCTGGCCATGATGGGAGTTGTACTTCAACAACATCAGCAGAGCCAGAAAGTTCCCCACACCTACTCTAGAGGTCAGTTTCTATTGCTGTTCATCCTTCTTTAGTTGTCATTTTTTAAAAAGACATATAGGTAATCTACTCCCCTCCACAAGATTCTCAAGTCTTGTTTTATATCTTTGGCTAACGAGTCCCAAAGCCATAATTTTCTTGATCAATCATCATTGCAGCTTGCTCAAGTACTTTTAATTGCTCAAAGAGCTTTCTCAGTAAATCAATTTTTTTTAAAAAAAGGCTTCCATGAGTCCTTGCTCTATGTAATACCTACAAATAATAGAGGCTCCCTTCAGCTCAATGCTACAGCAATTGCCAAGGCATGTGTGCAAAATGCTACTCTCCCAAGTTTTGGGAGGGTTAGGACTGGAAGCATCGCCCCAAGTCTGTGGTTGGCAAAAGGGAAAGAGCCAGTGTCTTGAGCTGATGACAGAAGACAGAGGAATGGAATTCTGAAAGCACAACTCGGAATGCAAGATGGAACGGAATGACCAAGATTAGCTGATCCCTGCATGACTCCTGCAGCCTGGGCAACCGGCCACTGAGGAAGACTACTGGGGCAGCATCCCCTGGGGCTGCCAGGCCACTGCTGTTCCACCTGACTACTTCCTGATTACCTGCCCCAAGGTACTTGCATTATTACATAGAACTACTGCTTCTCCGTCACAACGGGTCGTTTATACAGTTTAAGAGAAGAGCTGTGGGTTAGGAAAATGGGAGGAGAAGGGAAGGGAAGCAAGCCTATTCAAGATACCGGCTGTTTCACAATGTTATTATTTGCGAAATAGTTATATAGCGGAGCTCCAGGAGTCAGTTCTGGGAAGAGAAGGGGCCTAGAAGTGGCCGTTTATTTGATTATTTTGACATAACAGCAGGGATCGGATTCCGAAAGCTGCTTATGCCAATGAAAACCCCAGTAGAGATATATACAACCACTGGGGTTACACAGATGTCTTTCTTTTTATGTATGGCGGCCTCTTCAGGCCTGTGGCAGTTGATGACATAGTCTGGATTCTAGGCTCCTCCCTATAGAGCAGTGGTGAGGGACCTATGGCCTTCCGAGATGTTGCTGGACTCCATCAACCCCAGCCAGCATGGCCAATGATCAGGGATGATGGGAGCTGCGGCCCAACATCTGGGGGGCTAGAGTTTCCCCCACCGTGGCTCTAGGGAGAGGGATTTGCAGGTGGACTCAGGGTTGGCCTGGCTGATCTTGAGGTTGTTAACCCACAGAAAGCAGCCGTTCAACAGACGGGAGGGCCCTGCTGGACCACTTTCCCCTGAGGTGCAGCCTGATGGAACTGCTGCCAACGGAGGCAACGGGAAACTGATAGCTCTAAGTCCGAGTTGAGTTGAGTTGATGGGAGGGCCTGGCTTTGCTCCCTGCTTCTCAGACCCATCCATCTGGGGAAAGGTGGTGGCCGTGTTTAAGGGTTACTGCCAGAGGCAGGAGTGACATATCTTTTGGGGTCCACGGGCACCTTGGCAAGCCACAGCAAAGCACACAGCTCAATTTGTTGGCAACCTCTGGCTTGAGAGGCAATGCTGAGCTTTTTAGGAGAAGGGTTGCTTCTGCTTCAACGTTTTTGCTGTCTTTTATTATCTGCTGTTTTTTATTTTTATTGCTATACATTGTATTTCTAATGCTGATTTGCTTACAAGTCACCCAGGAAATATTTATTGAGGGGAGGCTATAAACCTTTTAATAGATAAATACTTTGGTCTAGGACATGCTTTGCAAGCAAAAGAATAGCTAGGTCTAATTCTCGATACCTCCAGTTGAAAGGGTCAGGGTAATAGGTGGTTACCTCTTCAGACCTTGTAGAGCTGCTGCTAGTCAGAGCAGACATTACCAAGGTAGATGGGGATCAGAGATCTAAGGTAGCTTCCAATATTCATTAGGTGAATCCATGTATCTCAGTGACAGAGTACATCCTTTGCACTCAGAGAGTCCTGGGTTCAGTTACTGGTACCACCTGGTAGGGTCGGGAAGGACCCTGGCCTGAGAGACCAGGCGAACTGCTGCCAGTCAGTGTCAGGAATATTGAGCCAACATGACAATTAACTTAACATGACAGTAACTTTACAACTGTTAAAAAACTTACCATTTGCCTTTTATTTTCTATCAAATTTGATCCAATAATTCCAAGAAATGACCCAAAGCCAAGCTGAAAGGCAAGGTTTTAAAAAATGTTTTAGATCTTTTAGAAGCTATCCATTTTTAACCATTTAGTACAGATGCAGAATTAGAAACCAGGGCTGGGGAGGGGGGGAAGACCACACACCACATACTCAGTCAGAAGCCTTAAAAATCTGAGGATTTTTTTTAAAAAAGAAACAAAACAAAACAAAAAACCAGAATCACCAAAATATTGCAACAGTATTCCTGATTTTTACCAGTGGGAGTAAATCATGTAATAAAGAGGAGCTTTTAGAAATTAGGCAAAATGCATGCAAAAATAATTTTTAATACAGGTTGACGGCAATAATGCAGCAATGGTCTTACAAATGCTTGACATAACTGGAGTAGCCAACTGAGGCAGACTTCCAATTGAGTCAAGGACTTCTTATTCATACATCTCTTATGATACCTGCTTAATAAATGTAGTTGGCAGACACCACCAATCTCAGAGCCATCACATGGATCTGCAGTAGCATAAAGACTATCCCACCTCAGGCAGAATTTTTGGTCTTTTTTCTGCACCAAAGCAACAACTATTGCTACACGCGATGCTGCTTCCACAGGAAGAGGAGAACGGCTTTAATCAGCCCAGCTACACAAGCTGCTGTTTACTGGGAACCCAGAAAGACAGGCATGCTAGGTATTAGGGGCAAAACAGCAGAACAGAGCCAGGTGCTTGCCTCAAACAGCTCTTCCGATTCTCAACTTTGACCTCTGGGTGCAAGAGTAGGAAAGGATGAAGTTGTAAAGAAGAGGAGGATTCTGCAGACCTCTTTGCAGAAACTAATATGATCATAACATGGGTTCATCCCATTCTATCCTCTCATCAAGCAATAACTTGCATGCATAAATGTGCAATCACTAGTTAATTTTCACAAACAGGGTTTCCATACCAGCCAAGGAAGAAATGCTTCCTCGCTGAAACATTTCACACGTGTCTTGATGAGAGTAAACACATGACATATGTGCACGTGTAAACCAACCTGTTGGCAACTGACCATGTGCTGATTAGTAAACACCACGGCTACTTGAGAATTAAGACTTCAGGGTGGCCAAGATCCCTGTAGAAATGTGCAACCTTCCGTTCAGTGAGCAGTGCATAAGGTGACTTAGTGAAAGTCGCTTACTCACCCCAATTGTGATGGGCTGCCTTGTCTTGTCCTCCTCTATATAGTTAGTGATTATGGATGGGGGCAAGGAGAAGAATTCAATGCAGCACTAAGTTCAAGTCCCTTAGTGGTGCACTAGTTGCGCGAGCGTAATATTTGACACAGGATATGGTACAGCAAGCCAGCGTGGTTCTCATGGCTGATCAAAGAATAGACTGCTGTTGCCCCAATACATCCTGTTGCATAACAAGCTTCTGCTAGCAAAACTGTTGCATAGGACATCATGTTATGCAACCATTATTCTCACCCTTGTACTAGCACATCATCCTTGATTAGAGAACACTGAATCCAGATATGGATTCCATCTGCCTGTGCATCTAATTACCCATAACCTGGGTCATTTGCCGGTCGCAGTGGTTGCTTAGTGAGCTGTCCATCCACCAGAGCGTATAAGTGCCAAAATGCTCTTAATGGAATAAATTAGCAAAAAGCCCATGATGGATGACAGATGGGACATGACTGAAGGAGCGAAGCGTTATTAAGGGCAGGGTAACCCTGTGTCAAAGGCTGGTTTTATTCTTCTCTGTTGCAAATGTTCTCAAATGCGGCACCTCACTTCCCCAACAGTAGCAGATGTGGCAGGGAGGAAAATGAGATGTATTTGTATACTGTACTAAGTTTGCTCCTAGTGGTTCCAGCTGCAGGGGTTGGGAGTCAATCAACTGAGAATGAAGTTGCTTCTATCTGCGCACAACTCCTTCCAGCATTTTGTTGCCCAATCATGCTAGAATGTGACAGAATGGTGGCTCACTGTATGGCAGGAGTGGAGAATCTGTGGTCCTTCAGATGTTCTGTGCTACAGCTCCTGTCATCCCTAAGAACTGGGCAGGCTGACTAGGACTGATAGGAGTTGCGAGTCCAGCAACATCTGGGAAGTCACAGGTTCCCCTTCTCAGCTGTAAGCTGTGGAAGTCTTATAGTACATAAGAGATCCTTAAAACTGGATGGGATAACTTCCAGATCTGTTTCTATGATTTTGTTAAACACTGGCAGGAAGTAACAGTGGACTTTAGAGTACTAACAGATAATATTATAAAGGACTTAAACAAGATGTTGTGTAATACAGCTGTTTAACACAGAGGTGAGGAATCTGTAGCTCTCCAAGCCTCAGCTGGAATGCCTCATGGTTAGAGTTGAGGGGAGCAACATCTGAAAGGCCACAGAGTCCCCATCCTTGATTTAATGAATCAGTTTATTCAGTAGAGTACTGATTACATTAGGGGCTGGTTCATATGCATGGTTAGCATGGGAACGAGAGCTAAGCAGGTAGCAAAAGCACAGATACCCAAATATGGCCCCTTCTGAGAACCTCTTTGAGCATTCATCCTTATTTGCATGCAGAATGCTTATGGTGCATATGGTGGTTAGACCAAGGGCACCTCCAGACTAGTGTTTCACCTCCAGTCACCCATGGATGCATTTTGCAACATGTCAATTATCATGCACTGGTGATGGATTCTGACTGGACCTCCCCAACATCATTACGCTTTGGTAGCTCTTTGATGCTTCCCCAACATGACCACATTACTGTCACCTGGAGGGGCACCCTTGCGCTACAGTGCAACAGAAACGGGACAAAGGAGCATTTGTGGTATGAAAAATTACAGGACTTCAGCAGGAAGCCACAGTTCTTGCACCAGTTGAAACTAAAACTTTTGCAGGTGCAAATGGGATGACGTGTAACTGCCTCAGCACCTTCATGAGCCCAAATCATCATGAATGCTCAATAAACAGAATGTCTGCAAGGGCCCTATATCTGGTCTTTACTTAGCAGTCATTCCAATTTGTTTGTGGGACAAATTATAATTATTGTTATAATTATAATTATTGTTTTAAGATAATGGGCATTCATCCTGACTTCCCTGTGGGGTGTTTACACATCTTCCCACTAGTCATTTGTTCATCCCACAATTTTAAATGCATTTTCTCATCACTTTCCAAATGACAAAAATGTTATGTTTTTATTTTTAAGTGGGTTTCTTGTGCTAGGTTGACAGAGTGCCTTAACCCATTTTAAGTGTGCCAACCTAAAGTTCTGATGTCACTACCAGGCTACAAAATCAGCTTACACTCTCTCTGAAGAGAGAGAGGTACATTAGGATTGCAGCATCGGGCTTGCATGTGTGAACAAGAGATTAGAGGTTTACATGCCAGGGAGATAACATAACAAAGCGCAAATGGTCTGCTAATGGAAACAATTACACATTTAACTGAGAAATAAGGCATTGAATGTGAACCAACCCAAAGTGTGCTAAGCTAAGAAACACTTGCTAGCTTGATGGTTTCTTTCTGCAACCTAGAGATCAGAGTGGAAATGTCCACAGTCTTGTACCGTGTACTGACATTTTGAATCATTCCAGCTGAAATGAGAGTATTTGCTGTGCAGTGCACCTACATTATCCTGCAGCCAAGATTGCATGGACTGACATTTAAGGGGCCAGAGTAGTAGATATTCTGACTCTGCCCTTTTGACGGGATCACTTTCCAACATTCTGATGAGAAAAACGAGAGCAGAAAGTGTTTCAATATTATAAGAGCAGAATGAAGATCCCTTCTGAAAAGGGTTGGTGTATTCCACCCAGAAGAGATACAGAAAAGATATAGAGAAGGGGTAGGACTTTGCAAAGACCCAACTATCTTAAGCATGCACTGGGCAAATCCAACATTGGCTTTCTGAGCTCTCATATGTACTAAGCTATCTCAGGACACCCTGCATTCTGAGCCAGCTTGCTAAAAACAAATCCAGATGGCAGAGATAGACTACAAATTCAGCAGATATAAGTTCAGCAGCAAGGCATTCTGTGGGCTAATAGAGACATGCATGGTACAGGACATGCAACATCAAAGGCAAACACGGACAAACAGTTCAGCATAGAGATTTAACACCAGAACCAGAAATTTTTGTAGCACCCCACACCACACTAATCCAACATGTTTTCATGGGATTGATTCACATGTTCAGCTGTAAAGCAACAAGGTCATAGTACTTAAGGGCTGAGCAATGGAGGCTGGTTCATGCATGGATGTACCAAGCCACTGTCTTGTGTCCTCAGTGTGACATCAGAGGAATAGCTCACACGTAACAGCAGCAGATTTAAGACTTGTTTGTGGGGCACTTGTAGCATGTGAAGAGGAGCTGAATGCCTCTAAATGGGTGCTGGCCTGTCAGTTAGCTACAACCAAATGCAGCTTCCAGCTAGTTTCCTCCAAGTGATTGGAACCATCTGTGTAGCCTCCATTATTTTATGTACCTCATTAAGTGAGTAGGGGCATAAATATGGCAGATGAGCCTGCAGCAGTTAATTGTGAATCACACCTTGGTGCGACTGCAGACATGGGTTTAGAGGCATTTCTGCATTTTCCTGCTCCAGAAGACTAGACCCTTCCAGTAGTCCCGGGTGATCTTTCCTCTGCATTGATGTTGCAGTTTTGGAAGGAGTTGAGCATGCATTCACTGCACATCTGAAACCCACAGCACAGGCACATAGAGGCTTTTTCCATGGTGGTCCCTTTTTGATCTACTGGTGTCGATCTACTCACCACCAATGGAAGTCATTGGGAGACTAGCACAAATACCCAGTTCTCACCATTAGTTCCAGGTATGAGCATAACAGGGACGCGGGTGGCGCTGTGGGTTAAAGCCTCAGCGCCTAGGACTTGCCGATCGAAAGGTCGGCGGTTCGAATTCCCCGCGGCGGGGTGCGCTCCTGTCGCTCAGTCCCAGCGCCTGCCAACCTAGCAGTTCGAAAGCACCCCCGGGTGCAAGTAGATAAATAGGGACCGCTTACTGGCGGGAAGGTAAACGGCGTTCCGTGTGCTGCGCTGGCTCGCCAGATGCAGCTTGTCACGCTGGCCACGTGACCCGGAAGTGTCTGCGGACAGCGCTGGCCCCCGGCCTATAGAGTGAGATGGGCGCACAACCCTAGAGTCTGTCAAGACTGGCCCGTATGGGCAGGGGTACCTTTACCTTACTTGAGCATAACACTAGTTCACACTTGCATGTGTGGTGTGGCACTAGGCTGCAGGTGTGAGCCCTCAGCTAAATAGCCACAGAGACAACTTGCATATGAAGTTGAGTGAAACACATTGTCAACGGAGGTGGGTCACACATTTGGTGGATGAAGCACTAAGTGACAAACCATGGACTTGTTCAGGGGCACATGTTTCTCGCTGGATAACCAAGGGGACCTTTGCATGCATAAGTGAGCCACCACAAGCCTAACACCACAGACAGAACATCCATATCACTTCACTCCCAACACTACCCAGCGGAGTCAGGTCAGACACTCAGCTACCAGCCAACAAGTGAACAGCAATCTGTAGAGCAGAGATAGACCCTCCAGATGCTACTGAATTCCCACTGTCACTGAACACTGACCTTGTTGGCTAGGGATGATAGAAGCTGGAGCCCCACAACATCTGGAGGGCCACAGCTCCTTCACTCCTCCTATCAGGGGTAGATACTCATGTGTGTACCAGTCCCAAATGATTTGCCACTGAATGTGACTCCATATGGAAACCATTGGCTCAAGGGTGTTATGCCCACACATGCAAGTAATCGTGTTGCAGTCACCCAGTGATGAACATGCATGTGTGGACCAGGCCCCCACCCCCATATTTTAAGGCAGAAGTAAGGAACTTGTGACCCTCCATAGGATGTTGGACTTTGAGGCCACCAGCTCCATCCAGCATGGCCAATGGTGAGGAAGGATGGAAGCTGCATTCCAACAAAATCTGGAAAGTCTCAAGGAAACAAAACAGTCAATGAAGGCAGAAAGCAAATGAGCAGAGGTTAACACTTAAGACATTCTAATCAATTTGGAAGGTTTGTGGAGACTTGGGCGGGAGCAACACAGCTTCTTGACCTACCTAGGAGTTCTATACTTACAATAACCCCTGGGTAATAACCTCCAACAGTCACATTTTGCGTTCTTGTCGTGGCAGCAAGACCAACCGTAAGAATTAACAGAGACACAATGAGAAGAGTCACCGTTACGTAGAGGGAATTTCTTTTTCTTCTATTGAAAGACCCTAAAACACACACATATATACATATGCAAAAAATGTGCTAATTCCATCAGCGTTGAATAGCAAAGCATACCCTCTCCCCATAAGCATCATATTCAGTTTCAGTTCTCTTGGTGGTATCATGAGATACCATATCAAGAACATAGGAAGCTGCCTTAGACTAGGCCAGGCTATTGGTCCACCTGTCTAGCCCAGGGGTGGGGAAACGTTTTGGCCACCTGTCAATCATCTGACATCACAACGTTGTTGGGTGATTGGCAGGTGGGTAGTCCTGCCCACCTGTCAAATATAACCTGTGTGGGTGGGAGGAAATACTGTCCAAGGAGGATTGAACTACATTCTAATGCAGCCTTCCAAGGTTCTCCATCTGGACCTCAAGACTCTTCCCAGCACATGCCTTCTCCCTGGGCCACACATCTCACTGGCTACACACCTGCTGGGAAGGTGTCCTTGAAGTGTTTGCCTGGATGGAGAATGGATAGATGAGTGGGTACAGAAACCACTGGCTTCTTTATGGCTATACAAAGTTAAAAGCCACATCTGTTGCCCCCTCCCACCTTTTTGCCTCTGGCCCTGCCCAGCACTGGCATGTGGCCCCCGGAATGTTGTCCATGAGGGCAATATTTTATTGGACATATTGTTCTCAGGATATTACAACAGGAGAAGCAGGAAGCTCTTAATTCCCACAAGAGAGAATCCCCCATTTGCATAATATGTTTAAAACACAATGATTCCACTTTAAACAGTCATGACTATCCCCCAAAGAATTTTGGGAGCTGTGGTTTGATAAGCGTGCTGAGAGTTATTCCTCGCAGTCCCAATTCCCAGAGTTCCTTGTGAAGAGGGATTGATTGTTAAAAGCACTCTGGGAATTATAGTGCCATGAGGGGAATAGGGGTCTCCTAACAACTTCCAGCACCCTTAGCAAACTACAGTACCCAGGATTCTTTGTGGGAAGCTATTACTGGCTGAAAGTGGTACTACGGAGTTTTAAATTGAAATATACTCAGAGTCGAGTAGTAATTTCATGCTCTTTATTTCAGCTCATAGGAACAGTGATTGAATCCTGCCCCCCAACTCAGGCTTTATATACCTTATTTATACAATGAGTACCATCTGATTGGTTGATTATGTTTCCCTCCTGGAGCCTGATTGGGTGGCTGCTGCAGGCCAATCAGTGGTTGCATCCTAGTATCCTACCAGCCTAATAGGCTGATAAACTTCCTCCTGGGGTCTGATTGGGCTGCTCCTGCAAGCCAATCAGGTTGTTGCATTCTAGGATCCTACCTGCCTATTCTTCTAGGATCTAAGCTTAGTACACAACATAAATGTTATTGTGATTGTAGCCTAAGTCATTGCACAAACAGAATTACTTTTGCTCAAGGAACAGTGTGCCCCTTCCTCCTCTTCCACCCACATCACCCCATTCCCTGATCTGTCCTGGGTTCTCCCAACCCTCTAGAAAAGATCTGGGAACAGTGCAAAGTTGGTAAAGTTCTGTAGCGCGAGCAGAAGTTGTTCTGCTTGCACTGTGACTCAGATAAGATTCAACCCTATAGAAATATATAAAAGGCTGGCACACTTGCAAATCCCCACCAAGGCAGTTCCAAGAGTTGAACTAAGGACACAAGTTATGGCCCTAATCCGATTCCAGCATAAAAACAAACAAATCTCGAATCACCTTCCTGACATCAATAGCTTCTCAAGGACACTTTGCAAAATACCAGAAGCAATGGTACGTGCTCAGTTTTCAGCAAGCCAGCATAGTTTATAACCCACCGAACTAATTAATCCATCAGACAGGGCAGGTTAATCATTATTTTTAAATAAATAAATAAACCCAATTTCAAAAAAGAAAATTCTGTTAGGCATCTTTTTAAAATACCCTGGTTTACATACAAAATCTGAATTTAACAACAACGAAAGTTAATGTCTGCACTTAAGGTCTCTTAAAACTGAATCTGTGGCCCTCTGTGAAATAAACCAAGTTAAAAGTCTGTTGAATGAACTGGGCAAAAACTAGAATAAAAGCTGACTTTTGCAGTGGTGTGATTCATGCAGAACATTATGAATTGGAAGAATCCCACTGCCCTAAACTCAAGGCAATTTAGTTTAGCATTTAGTAAACTGATTTTTTTTAAGGATGCCATGTTAATCTTACATGCTGTATACAATATATATATATTTCAAGTTACTGAAATAATCATAACTTAGCTGAACAAATATTTGATTAGGCAAAAGAATTCAATAAAGCACCACTACAGCATGGTTTAAATGTTATATTCAAACCAATCTGAGGCTTAACTTGGAAATTATTTTTTATTCTGATATTTATAATCATTTTAAGACAGGACAACCCAAAACCTTACACTTCCTGTTCATCTTGAGGTGCTGAGAAGTGGTATACTGATTTTTAGAATGCCTGAAGAGCTGTGTGCATGAATATTATTTATTTCATTCCACTCCATGTATTAATTGCTTCCTATAAAACACCTTGGGACGCGGGTGGCGCTGTGGGTTAAACCACAGAGCCTAGGACTTGCCGATCAGAAGGTCGGCGGCTCAAATCCCCGCGATGGGGTGAGCTCCCATTGCTCGGTCCCTGCTCCTGCCAACCTAGCAGTTCGAAAGCATGCCAAAGTGCAATTAGATAAATAGGTACCACTCCGGAGGGAAGGTAAACGGCGTTTCCATGCACTGCTCTGGTTTGCCAGAAGTGCTTAGTCATGCTGGCCACATGACCCGGAAGCTGTATGCCGGCTCCCTCGGCCAATAAAGCAAGATGAGCGCCGCCACCCCAGAGTCGGTCACGACTGGACCTTATGGTCAGGGGTCCCTTTAGCTTTATAAAACACCTCAAAGCGATCTAGCAATGAAAACACCAACTGGGGGGAGGAGGCAGACAATTACACATATAAAGACAAAATCAAAACCAACACAGAGCCAACTGGGATAAAAAGTGTTCAGTTAAAAGTCTTGTTGGAAAAGGAAGGTCTTTAAAAGCTGCCAAAAAGACAATAGAGATGGCACCTGTCTGACAAGCAACAGGATGGGGAATTCCAAAGGGTTTGTGTGCTTTCTAGAGAAAGTCACCTTAAAAAGTTAATAACCACTCTGATATTAGATCTGTCAAGAAGTAGTGTATCTACTCTAGTTGCCCAATTTGACCTGCTCTGCATTTTTCACTGGCAGCATTCAGATGATCAAATCTCAGCCAGGATATGAACATGCTCCATGTGTCTACACACAGATGCTCTGGTCTTCCCTTTGTGCAAGCAAGGAACCATTATGTCCATGGTCTTCCAAATGAGCAGAAATATGAAACCATGGTATAACGTCAGCACCCATCTCTTGGCTTGCTTGTTTTATTGTTATTTATTTTATGGAATTTGTAGGGTGCTTGGTTGTGAACAGAGCCTCTAAGCAGTTTACAAAAAATTAAAAAAAAACAAGCATTAAAATTATCAATAGAAGACACTTAAAAAAAAACAACAGGAATTGAAAAATCCCAAATATAATTAAAACCAACAATAAGCTAAAAACAGGTTAAAGCACGTTTCCTTTTACGTGTCTGGACAGGCTTGACCACAAAAAAATGTTTTTAGCAGACACCAAGAAGAGTACAGCAAAGGTACTAGCCTAATGTCCTCAAGCAGGGAGTTTCAAAGTGTAGACACTGCTCCACTAAAGGACTGGGGTTTTTTTGTTTTTTACAAGGGTGGAATGAATATTATGTGGCACCTGTAAACAGAGCCAGTTCCACAGATTGATGCAATTGAGTAGGCACATACAGGGTAAGGTGATTTCTCCAGTAAACAGGCACCAAGCTGTTAAGGGCTTTATATAATAATATTAATACTTTGAACTTGGCCTGGTAACAAATGCGCAGCAACTAGCACAGGTCTTTAAGCAGAGGTGTTATGTGCTGACAAGGTCTCAGTAACCCAGCTGCTGCATTCTGCAGTAATGGCAGTTTCCAGATCAAACACCATTGTTTGCAAGCCATTAACTAAGAGGCTCATTCCTGTCTCGGCTTATTAAGCAGAGATCTGATTGTCTGCCCACAGCCATTATGTTACTTATTAATTTTATGAAGCACTTGATTCTGAGAACTCTCTTTGGAAAAATACAGCAGCAGAAAATGTTCCATCCCACATCGCTGGGCGTTTGAAGTCAAACGACTCTAAATATGACACAATAAGTCGTGTATATTGCATTGATTGTTTGCAGACTATGAATATTCAATCCGTCAGCAAAAGAACGGGGCCATTTACATCCCATTCCCTGCAGAGAGTAGGTGTTGTCCAGTAATCACCAACTCTTGCCTCTAGAAAATTCTGGGCCCTTAAGAATTCTGTTCTGGGAGTGTTTGGTGTTTAGAGGGGAGCATCTAGGGAAGTCAAGTCAGGGCTTGGTAAAGCCCAGTCCGGTTAAGCAGGTCAAATCACAACAGACAAGATCACACCAAGGCAGCTAAAGTCTAGCCACAAGCAAGCACTCTTTGCAGAGATAGCGAAGAAAAACAGGACCTTGGTTAGCTCCAAGTGTTAGGTAATGATTCCTTCTTCAAAAGCAGCTTGAAGAGTCGTCCCGGCGGGAAGCTATTCTCAAAGGAAGGGTTATGCAGGTTGCTAATGTGGCTTACTCTGCCTATCTAGAGCAGCTGCCTAGGTTCTTTAAATGTTATCATGCTATTTTCCTTTCTTTGACTTCTGCAAAGCTGGGGAAGTGGAGCAAGGGACCCATCCTGTGAGTCTGCAAATGGGCTGTATCCTCCAGCTGGGAGTGCCCCAAGTAGGGTGCTGATAATTTAACTCAAAAGAGACCTCCATTGAACACTGCAAAGTCCCAGGATTAGGGGTTACAGCATTAAATGCCGCAAATATAAATAAACGTGGGACTT